TTCAAAGGTGTTCAAGTTTGTTCTGTAGCAGTTTGTGAGGAGGACCGTGGTTGGCTGAGATTACCTTATTCATCTTAGACTTTCAGAAATCACTTCAGTTTTTTTTTTTTTTTTTTTTTTTAAAAGCTTATGATCTAGTATCTAGGATCACCTGCTTCTTCTTCCTCCAAAATAAAGTAGACTAGAGAAGTAAAAAAAAGTTACCAATAGAAACTAATTTTTGGCTTCACCAAATCCTTATTTGTGTCCTGAGAAAGACTCTGTACTCTGATTGCACAGGACGACGCAGCTCTTTACCGACACCTGGTGGCCATCCTGCGTCTCTGCCTGATGAGGAAGTGCACGCTGCCTGAGGACACTGATGAGTTACAGGGGTGAGGCGGAATTATGTCTTAATCATCCCTTAAATGAATAAAGTATGATAGATGTTTTTATATGTGCAAAGTACAGTTATAAACAAGGTTTATTCTGACAAATGTATTTTCTATCCATTAGTAATTAACAGGGATACAAAAGAACATTGATTATTTAATAAATTCATTACATATGGTTATATTTCTAAATATAAAATGGTCAGAGATGACTTTACCCACTGATATACCAACATGTGCCGGATTCATGTAAGATTCATGTGAGCTTTGCAGTAGAACTCAATACTTAAAATATTTTATATTTAATCTTTCTTATTGAAAGAAGAAAAACAGAACTAATACCTGCTTTTCAAAGTCATTAAAAAACAAAAATTCTCTAATTCTAAATCAGTGACCTCCATATGTCTCCTTAATTGGTAAAACAGCATTGGATCAAAAATCAATCAAGAATGTATTCTGGTTACATCAGAACAAGGTGGAACTGTTTTAGCTACATGCAAAACGCTACACAGCATCCCCATGGTGACGCATGGGGACGAAATGGTTTAGTGCAAAGCAGGTTTAAATGTCAGAATGGCCTAGTCAAAGTTCAGACCTAATTCCAATGAACTGCAGCTGTAATTACAGTAAATTGTTGTTTGATGGTGCTTGCCACATGTTTAGCTTTCCTCTTTTTAAGATCTCTCAAAAGAAAATTATCAGCTTTTTTTCCACTTCACAATTATCCACCACTTTGTGTTTGTTGTCACATTGAAATACCAATAAAGTACATATTTGCCAAAGTTCCTAAGGTATGAAGACGTTTGAAATCAGGCTTTGACAACTGAATCCTATTCTCAGTTAAATTACTTTAAGCTTCTGAATAGAATCTCATTTTCTTTCCCCTCAATGAATCAGGGCTGCAACTAAGTTATTTTGAAAATTGTTTAATCGACTAATAACCGGATAGCAAAAGGTTCCTTAAAGAAGGTTTTTTATGAAATTAAACTAGGTGAAACTGAAAGTTTTCCACTTAAGGAGTTCACAATAGAGCATATTGACAGACGAAAACATTTTTTTTATCCTACATGCAAAATGTTTTTATATTCTTTACAATTTTGATATAATTCCTGCCCTAATTGGGTAGCTCTGTCAGCTAAAGACATGTTTTAGAGTCTCTATACTCCAGTTAATGAATAATCGATTACTAAATTAGTTGACAATTATTTCAACAATCTATTAATCATGATTAATCCGATTGATTGTTTCAGCCCTACAATGAATAGAGAACAGATTCAAAGACCAACAGAATTTATCTTAAATGTTCATTAATTATTCTATATACTTAATGAGTTTTTATTGATTTAGTTAAGGTTTTTTTTTTTGTCCTGTGCGGCAAAAACTAACTCTGTATGATGCTGCAGTCACACAGTGAACCTGCTGACAGCGCTCCCGCTCCGGTGTCTTAATGTGCTGCTCACGGTGCCTCTGGGGCCAAAATCCAAGCAAAGTCTGGGAGTCAACATGGACTGTGTCCACACACTGCTGATGTTCATGGAGCGGCGCCTGGAGGCGGTGAGGGAGAAAGCATTTGCATGGAACAATTCTCTAAAACTTGTTTATGAAAGTTTCCTTAGGAAAGTGCATTAAAAAGTATATAAGATTATCCAGTAATCCTTAATACATTTTTTGCTAAATGTGCTTCTCAGGGGGAAAGAGTCAAAGAGAAGCTGACACCAATCCTCAGTCTCCTGTCAGAGAGCTGCAGGGCCCACAGAGAAACTCGCCTGTACATCAGGAAACATGTAATGTTACCCTAAACTGATCTCATGTTATCGTGTTTATTAATTTATTTTCCCCGTCACAGTTGAAAGAATATGTAACAAACATCTTTAATCTGATAACAAGCTGCTTTGTCTCTGCAGCAGAGGCCAAAAGGTTTGAGCCTGGCAGGAACATTATTATTAACTTCCTGCTTCAGTTTTTATGTTCCTGATTTGCATCATTTCTGTTTTACTGTGAATTAAATTATTGAAAAAGTTCATGAAAAATAAAAGAAATCACTTTTTGCCCTGCCTGAAGAAGATTGTAGTTAGCTCAGGAGATTACCTCACAGAAGGTCCAGCAGCAACAACTGGGGACATTTCCTAGAGAGAGTTTAATTAAGGCAGGCATGCCCAAAGTTGGTCTTCTAGTGATTTTTATTGATAGCTGACTAACAGGCCTTTGATGAACTGCAATAATCAGAATCAGCTGTGTTAATGTAAGGTAACTTCTAAAACCTGCAGGAAAGTCTATATCGAGGAGGACCGACTTTGGACATGCCTGAACTAAGGGATAATGGTGGACAAGTTCTATTTCTAAAAAACATCTATTGGAAAAACTTGAGTATGCTTAATCTACCTAAAACGAGGTATTTCATAATCCAGACTTCTTCTAACGAAATTTCGTTTTGTATACACAATGTGTATCCATAACGACAATAAAAGTTGTATACGTCTTCTACCATCTGCCCAACCACCTTGCTTTATAATCCTGTCTCATACTTTGTCTTTTTTCATAATATGTCTCCTTTTTTTTCCTTTTTGTGAGAAAATCCTCAACTTTATCTGTAAGTTTTTTTTTTGTGTTTTTTTTTAACCTGTTATTAGATCCTTCCTCCTCTGAGAGATGTATCACATAGACCAGAGGAAGGGGACACAGTGAAGAGTCGCCTGGTCCGACTCATGACTCATTTGGACACAGATGTAAAACACTGCGCTGCTGACCTCCTCTTTGTCCTCTGCAAGGAAAATGGTAAACTTCCTCCTTTATTTGAATCAAAAGAGGCTGATCATGAACATAATCCAGCTCTGTCTTTGGTTTCCAGTGCGGCGTTTTGTCAAATACACTGGCTACGGTAACGCAGCGGGTCTGCTGGCCACCAGGGGACTGCTGGGTGGTCAGGGGCCCAGGAGCTCCACCTCTGACGCCCAGTACTCCAGCGACTCCGATTCAGACACCGAGGAGTACCGACAGGTCAAAGACCGTGTCAACATGGTGACGGGGCGGGTGGAGGCGGAGCAGCCAAACCCTATGGAGGGCATGACGGAGGAGGAGAAGGAGGAGGAGGCCAGGAGGCTGATCATGCTCTTTAACAAGCTGTCCAAGTAGGCCAAACGATAAACAGTGAAAATATCTGAACTTTAAAGTGTTGTTCAATTGCTTTGAATAAATCCACAGCAACATCCACACCTATTAATACTCCTCATAAAATGTATAAAAAGCCTAAAATATATATATATATATATTTTATAGAAGCCACATAATTTTAGACAGAACATTTTTAGATATTCAAAGCTTTTATCTGAGAACATTCAATCATTTTAAATGTTTAATAAAATCTCCTGGACCACACATAATCAGAGCATTAGAAAGAGATTATGAGCAGAGAGAGATTTTAAACAGTTAGTGACGCCATGCCCTTCATACATGCAGCTTTCTATGGCAGTTTGGAGCAAAACCAGGCCCACAGCATTACAGATCCATCACTATACTTACCAACAGGCACCAGCCTTTTTTTTGTTTTGTTTTTACTATTTTGAATTTCTTTACAGACCAAATAAACTCTGTAATCCTTGATAACATTTTTTTTGGCCTGTTAGTCCACCACTGCTGATATGGGACCCCTAATCCAAACTAATTCATCTTTATTTATAAAGCACTTTCAAATTTCTCGAAAGACCAAAGTGCTGTACAATATAAGAACATAAAAAACATAAAAGACATAACAAAATTGATATCAGAACGATAAAATCCATAATAAAATAAAATAAAAATTACTTTCAATTATTTATCACAGGCTAAAATCAACATCTCACATAGGTTTGAAAGTTAATGCAAAAAGATGAGTTTTAAGACGCGATTTAAAAACAGTCAGAGAGGTAGACCTATTAATTTGCATTGGAAAGTCGTTCCACATTTTGTTAACTAACCCCCAGATTAAGTGCATTACAATATTCCAGCCGGGTAGTGATGAAGGCGTGGATTATTGTCTCTAAATTATCTCTAGAGAGAATGGGCTTCATTTTAGTCAACTGCCCTAACTGAAAGAAACATTTCTTTACAGTTTCCTTTATCTGGCTGTCAAATTTAGGATCAGCATCTACGTTGACATCAAGGTTTTTGATAACTGACCTTCTGTACTGGGCTGGACAACCTGGTTCAATGGAGGCTAGCTCAGATGTGCTAAAAATCATGATCTTGGTCTTACTCTTATTAAAATCTAAAAACTTAAGGGCCATCCAGGTTTTAAGTGGTGCTCAAAAGAAAAAATTAAAATGTTTGAATATTTGAATGACCTTATCCTGCCGTACATTTCTGAGCATCTTCATACTTTTTTGGTCCCTGAGATGAGTTGAATAGAAGCTCCTGCAGGTCAACTAGGAAGCTCAGAGTGAGAAGAAAACTGGTACTTTTTGGAAAAGAGTTAATTTGTTCTAATGTTTTGCGTTTGTTTTTTTTTCCAGAGATAACATCATCCAGCCAATGGGAGTAGATGAAGAGGGGAAACTTGTCCCGATGAAGGGACTGGAGGAAACGACCCTTGCAGAGGAAGCAAATGCCGAGCCGGACAACGAAGCAGAATCAGACAAAGAGGACTGAAACATGTTAAATTTGTTCCTTTTCTTTATTGATAAGGTTTTTCTAAACATTGCAATGCTGACATTTGGTTGGTACAGTAATTGGTTTATCTGGTTAGAGACCCATACAAGAAACAGGATAGAAAATGTTTGATAGTCACAGAAATCAAAAAAGGCTTAAAAGAATAATTTCAGACTAAAAAAACACATTTAGAGCAGCTTTCTTACAAGTCTGATGTACAATTGTGGCTCTTATTTGTGTGGTAGTTCCTGAGAAGAAAACAATTTCATTATGATTCTAACCGTGTTTGATTAAAGTTTGTTCTCTCTAAGTAATAAAAATACAGTTTATCTCAGCCCAGTGAAAATCATTCCAGTATTTCTTAATATGTAACATCCTAGAGTTTTTACAAACATGAGATGAAATCAACAGCGTGCAATGCAGATTATATGGTACAGTTGTGTTTTATGGGATTATTTTGGAGCAGATGCATCATAAATTAACAGGATGCTATCTTAAACTTGGTGAGATAAATTTATATCTTGCTGCTTTTTTAAAATCAAATATTTATGGATACATGTATTCATGCATATGTAACACACAGCAAGGCTTACTTTAGAAATATGCTGCCCCATAGTGGTTGGAGTCTTTTCACTATATATTTTACCTCATTTTCATACAGAAAACATTTTTACCAAATTCATATCTATTGTTTGTATTGTATTCAAACAAAAATATAAAAAATGTTGGTATCTTTTTAAAAGTAAAAATATATTTTTGAGACAGTGATTCAGACAAGGCCAACATATTTTCCCATACCACACTCCATAAATATTTTTCAAGTAAATCCCAGGTCTTTAAATTTAATGGCTTCCCTAACAGTAGTTCCTTTAAAGTAAACAGAGGCATTTTATTCATTTCTTTAGGTTGGAAAAAAAGTGGATAACATGCCAATCAGGCAAAGCAACAAGAAAACAGCTATCTAACCTTATCATTTTGTATACTTTGAGCTTTAATTGAAAAATTTCCAACAAGAAAAAATCCTAACATTTTTTGTAGAACTGCAGGTAAAGTTTAGATACTGTAAAGAAAACAAAGTACTTCGGTGATTTTATTACATCCTCCAAAGTACAAATACAAGTAGAGAATGCTGGATGTACACAAGAGTCAACTTAACTTATTTTTTTTTTGCAGTAAACCCTTTGTACTTGGAGTTTAATGCTTTTATAGAACATTAATTAAAATTCTGTTATAAAAAAATGCTTTATTTATACCAAAGGGGAAAGTAAATAATAATTGTTGTTGTGCTTCATCTAAGCTAGGTGCTTTACCTATATATTTACTGTAGGTTGGTAAAAAAAAAATGTATTTATGTTATTTTTTTAATATAATGTAGTAACTAAGATCATAATTAGGACAAATTTGTCACTAGTGTTTTGAGCAATCTATGTGCAAGTCCAGAATTGTACAGAATTATCTGAGGTGGATGTTTTTGGGGTTTTTTGCATCAAAATGTTTGACAAATATCATAATTTTAAATTACAGTATAATGAATTTTACACATTATGCATGAAAAAATAAAGTCTATAACTTGAATTAAAATATAAATATAAATGAAACCCAAATTTATAGTTAAACATGTATTTATTTGTGACGTCCCAGCTAACGCAGCACGACAATGTGGTGATCTGTTTGATGTCAAAAAGCTTCCAAAGATGAGAAACTGAGATATTCTCACATCATAAAGGGCAGAAAAACAACAGAAACTCATCAGCAGAGATCCATCATTTCTTCAAGAGAGGTCTGCAGTTCTACAGACTGTAGAGAGGAGGCGCCAAACTCAACAGCAATATTCTTAAGAAGATCCATTGAAGTCAGAACCACCTGAGAGAGAAGAAAGGAAACCAAAAGCCACATTCAGATAATCGTGACAGCTGTACGTATTTATGTTGAGTTCCTTGATTGATTTTTCTTTTTTCAACAGCCAACTCTTTTAACTGAAAGCATTTCCTCACCTCTACCATTATGAGTTTTTTCTCCCAGGGCCTGTTCTCAGGGTCAGGCCACTTTTCCCCCAGACAGAAGAACAGAGAGCACGACGGGGAGTCCTTCCCATTAATAAAATCTATTATTCCTACAAGAAGGAGAAAAAAAAAACCTGCATCATGTATTCACAGGGATTACCTTACATTAAGGTAGATATTCCCTTTACTCACCTTGGATAAATTCCTTGACATAGTAAAGAGGTTCAAGCTTCATTTTAGAAACCTCCCTTGGCTGTCTGCTGTTGTCAAACTTGGATAAACTCCAGTAAGCTTTGACATCTCCTCGCCGCTGTCCGTAGATCACGCTCTCCAACGTGCCCACGTCAAGGCCGTTGCCAAGACTGTTCAAAAGCCTTTGGGTCAGAGCAGCTTGGGTTTGATCCAGAATGCCATCAGGTCTTGGCAGAGAGACAAGAGAGAGTCCAGTCTCCTGATCCACAATGGTACCGGTTAGATCAGGCCTGAAGTGAAGACAAGGTGGACAGGGTTACAAGTATGAAGCAGCTATCGATCGATTCCTTGACTCAAAGTGAGTCAGTTCCAATCATACTATCAATAATAGACTGTATTTAGGCACTTTTTTCATTTTAAGCAACGCTAAGTTGTCATATTCTGCTTTAAAATAGAAACCTATAAACTTTAGTTTGAGACGTCCACTTAACTGGAGATTTTAGACAAAAGGTAAAAAAATAAAAACCATGCAATACACTCATTTTAGACGGGATGTTTGTGGATGTTTTTTATTCTTTTCAACTAAAATACTAAACTAGCTTTTCTTTTGTTTTACTTTAAAAGGCAAACTTTTCTTCAGAAGATATCTGTAAGATTAGTAAATTCTTGTCTTTATTTTTTCCTTTGCCTAGGCAGAAAGTCCTTAAAAAAACAACTAATCAAACAGACAAAAAACAAAACTAAATGATGTTTCTGGAGTGGCCTATTCAAAGTCTGAATTTAAATGCTTAATTACATATGATTAAGTAAGCTTAAACCATTTTTTGATGTGAAAAGTGTGGCTGGTGTTCTTATACGGGGATGTATGAGACAAAAGCAGCCATCAAAACATCTAAAGCAGTTACTATGTTTATGGGGTAATTACATAATTACATCAGACCAGGATGGTTTGTAGAGGGACTACATAAATAAAGTCAGAACTAGAAAACTGCTGTTTGTATTTGTTTAAGCTATATTTGGTTTGATGAACTGAAACATTTGTTTGACAACCTGGAAAAAACAAAGAAATCTGTGAGACAGATTTATTCTTCCAGATCTGAGGACGTATTTTCTCTCCTTCCTTTTTAGACCATATTAGAATAGTTAGATCAGGGGTGTCCAAAGTGTGACCCAGAGGGTGATTTGCAGCCTTTTGAATACATTTCTTTACTCTCAGGCCCCCAAAAACAATGTAAAAATACTACAAATTATATTTTAAATGACAAGGGTAAAAGCATGAACATAAAAAATGTATATTGTATTTTAATGTACTAAAAAATATTCTTCTTTTGTAAGCCAGTGATTAACCTTGACCAAATCTAACAGATGTTCAGAGTCTCATGTTTGCAGCTGGGAATAAACTAAAATCATTTTTCAGATTTTATTTCCAAAAACCTTTTTCTTTTGAATATTGCATGTTTAATTTATTTTTTCCGATAAGAAAAAACACAAAATATTTCACAATAGATAGAATTTTTGCATTTGTAATTAAAAAAACAAAAACAAAGCAGATTTAGACAGAAGTTTAGACTGGCTTTTAATGTTTAATAGCTGTATTTTAATTCTCCATTACTATTATATTTTATCCTGCACCAAAAAAAATTTAATTCTAGAACCTCGGACTGCTAAGAGTGTAACAAAGCCTTCTTTGAATCCGTATGGAGAGGAATCGCGCCATTTAAGTCATTACATCATAGGAAACTTCTCTTCTTGATTTCCTTTCATTTTGAATAGATGTAGAGAAGATTTAAAGTGAGTTTCTACTCAGCTACTTTGAGGTGGAACATTGGATAACTCAAACACTTAGTCTAATTTGTTACCTGTAAACTAGGCGGAGTCCGTTTTCATTATGAACCAACTGCTCAGAGACCTTCACTCCTCTGTAGTATACGCACACCTTAAACTGGGTCACTGAAGAATTCACAAAGAGAAGAAGTACTTTAAAAAGATGATTAATAACGCCTGAATTCTTACATTAAAATGCATCAAAAAGAGACTCTGCTGGGATAGTTTCAAACTCATCTTTGTAGGATTTCACAGATTTCAATAAGATATACCGGTATACAATTTCAACCCACAGTCCTCAATTGCTATAAACAATGTTTTGGCTTAAGGTTTGATCCCTATTAGTTTTTAAAATGTTGATGTTTATCAAAGAGGTGTGTGTGTTTTCATAAAAAACATGTTTTAAGTGAACTTTGCTGTTTACCTAGATTTTCTTTTTTTTATTTGAAATAATTTTTTTCATTATTTATTTATTTTTTCTTCAATTCCTTTTTCAAATATCAGATTTTTCAAATAAATTTCATCTTTCTAAATTGTATATATATTTTTCTATTTATTTGTTTTTTTTAAGACTGTATTTTCACTTTTTTTTTTTTTTTTTTGCTTTTTAATTCGTAAATGAATTCATACATTAATAAAAAAAAAACAGTATTAATAATAATAAAAAATGTTTTATTAATAATAAAAATACTTAATATTACAAAATGTCAAAAATGGGAAAAATAAATTTTGAAAAACTAAATAAGCAAAAAGAATCTAAGGAAACAACAAAGTAACTGTTTAAACCTTTTTTTATCAAAAAGTTTTTTAAAGTTTAACATCTGAATTGCATTTTATTCAAATTAAATTTTACAAAATCAGCCATAATATGAGTTACTGCAACGTTAAATTTTGCTTTGGGATTAATACAGTATTTTTTAACAGAATTGAATTGATATAATTAATAAAATCATCATGAAAACCCATAATATTTGGGTTTGCTTCCCTTTCTTCAGCAGTAAAGATTCATTTCTAAAGAAGATGGAGAGTTAAAAAGCAAAGCATTTTCCAGTAAAGGGAACTAGATGTTGGATGAAACCAGATTGGTTCCCCACAGCAGAAAATGCCAAGCACTGCAAAAACATTTGAGGAGGCAAATATATTGATTTGCCAATGGAATGGGTATTTTTGGTCTTAAAATAAGCTAATGAGATAATATGTACTTGAAATAAGACAATGCAATTGTTTTTGCTTATTTTAAATGTAACCTGTCTCGTTACATTGGCAAAATGTCTCACTTACCTCCACATTTCAAGAACAAATTCACTTATTTTCAGAAAAAAATGACTTATTTAGATCCACATTTTTTGCAGTAATGCACTGGTTAAAATGGCATTGCCCTAGTTTAAGATGTATGGAATATATATATGTTAACACCAAAGAAACCGACCAACTGAGATGACCTTACTACTGATAAATTAAAATGATCAGATTAAACAAGGATCTTAACCAAAAAACATGGTTTTAACAGTTCGAATAAATAATTCAAACCCAAAGCTGGCAGTCTCATGACAGATTTCTGTAAAGTACTGATCAACCTTGTATGTCAGTATGTCATATATTCTCTGTTGGCATTTTCCTGTATGTTCAGTAAATTCTCCATTTGACAGCAGCCTCCATTCACTAACCCCCAACCCAACCCCCAACCCCACCCCCCGCCCCACAACTCACTGAAATTATCTCCATCTCTGGTTTGGTACATCGTTTGCAGGAACTGCTCTGCCTGCTGCCCATCACCGAAGCCCGGCCCCTCTGCTCCCCCCACTGGATGTGCCGGTTGCTCTGGCAACCCAGTTTCACAGGCTGCACCCTGAAACATTACTGGATCTTGCTGTTGCCCAGGCAACTGATGTGCACCAATCAAAACCTGATTCTGCTGCTGCTGTTGCTCAGTAGGTGGCTGAAAGCCTGTGGTTCCCTCTGTGGAAAAGTTGGGAGAAAATGGAAAAGTGTTTGCAGAGAAAGAAGCTCAGGTAACCATTTGTTTTCTGCTGCTGCTGCTGCAGCAGAGAAGAGGAGACGAGGTGATGTCAATACCTGCTTCAGGGCCAATACTGAGTCCTCTCAGACACTCCTGAAGGATATCCTGGCTGGCTGAGCAATCTGCTGACAGATATCAGTATGTTTGAATAAAATCCAACAGTTATTTCTCAAACAGTTTTAAAGCTCCTTTCTTACCTGGCAACAGAATATCCTGCTCACGATAAACCTCATCGAAGAATGAGACAGCCTTACTCTGAAAATCACAGAAATTCATAAATGCATTTTAATCTCTGTCATTTTTGAATACTCAACCAATATTTAAACAACATATAAATATGCAAAACATTCAGTTCATCATTTCATACCTCCTGAACTGCATAGGCGTTAAAATTACTGGAGTCATCCTGCTCTTGGGACCCAGAGGAAGAGTTCGCTATTGGGTGAGAAAAAAAAATCGATGCAATGGTTAAAGGATCAATAATTACCAGATATAATGATATATTCTGATAATCTAATGAATTTCGAAGGATATCCACCCTCACCTCCTGCTGCAGAGCCCTCAGGCCAACGATAGACTTTATGTGGGTTAGCAGCATCGTTCTTTTTGTCTGAAACCATTTTGAAGCCCTTTGCCCTGAGGGCGCTGCGGAAGTTTCTCTTCCACACGGAGGGGTCTCCCTGAGCCTGGCCGTTTCCACTAACCTCTGCCCAAGCCTGCAAGGGAAAGCAACACATTTACACTCCTCTGCTAATATATTCATACCTATTAATCCTTTACACATTTTGTCAGGCATGTATTTATATTTTGCCTCAAGTTTTCCAATATAATGCTTTCGAAAACTAATTCCCACAGCATGGTGTGTTCATGGGGAGTAAAATGTAAAAATACAGGGCAGAAGTCCATTGTTTGTAACAGTCAGAACTAACAAACCTCCATGTTTTTTTTAAACAGGTAGAAGTGTAAAAGTGCGGTTGTTTTTAGAGAAAAAGTACATGTTTAATCATTTCTATTCTTAAATAGACGTGCAGCAAATACATGTAATAAATGGATTATTTGATATTCAGCCCAAATAAAGGGAATATATTAATAGTTGTTTTTAAATCTGAACACATTTCAGTCTGACCAACAAAACTTTTGTGCACATTAACATAGCAAATTTTATTTTTCTGCTGGAAACATGCATTTTGCATATGGGCCAAGAAGCTGAACCGTTGTCGTCTCAACAACCCCAAGAGCCATTGTTGGCCTCTCAGTTGCTCCTCTGATGAATGCTACCCTTACGAGCCTGTCGCATGTAGGTGGACGGTCATGTATTGGTATGTTTTTGGCTGAGAAATACACTTTCCACAAAACATGGCTCTGAGAAATGTTCAAGGCTTGGAATAATGTTTATCGGCTCTCCAGAACATTCACTTAGGCCTTCAAAGAACAAATACATTTACTGACCTGCCCTGTCCCTACTGAAGGAAAGAATTCCCAAAGCATAATGATGCCACCACCTTGCTTTACAGGACCTATGTTGATTGTTTCTATTTATACCAGGATTCAGTTTATTAATTAATTGGGGGTGAATTTAATTACACTCTAGAAAGATTAATGCTTTATATCATTTACAGTAGGATGCAGGAGGTCTAACTATCATTATGGTTGCAGATACTGACCTTAAAGATGAGAACGTCGGCGTCGGAGGAGTCCTGCCTGAGAGCGTGCTTCCATGGGATGCAGAACTCTGTTTTTTCAGGGTTTGTCCACTGGACACCTGGATACCTCCCACTGTCAATGTTGGCCCTCAGCCATGGCATCAGCAGAGGTTTGGAATGGGCCATTTCTGCAAAGGGCAGAGAAAGAGATGTTTTCCAGAAGCAGATTAAACTTGCAGGTAGCTTGATAAGTAAAAGTTTCTACAAGATATTTTCATGGTATCATGACATACTTTCCTTGTTTGAACTATGTAATATTACAGAGTATTATGGGGGGGAGTGTTGGCCTAGTTAGAGCTGTGTGCTTGTATTCTGAGAAGGTTGCAAGTACCCGGTTCGATTCCTACAGCCTGATCAAGGCCCTTAACACCACACTGCTCCCTGGGTGCCGCACAATGGCAGCCCACTGCTCCCCAAGAGGATGGGTTAAATACAGAGGTAAATTTAATTATTATTTACAATTAATAGTAATTATTAAACTCTAATTATTGTGAAGTTATGAGCACAAGTATCAGCAAACAATTATGATATTAAATGTTAACTATTATTTTTTTTTAGATCCACACCTTTGTATATTAATGCTAAATCACCGTGGATTGCATGATTTAATTATAAAAGGAAATTTAAGCAGTTATAACAATATGGAGTTACACTTTGCTCTTCTCCCTTAAGTCATTTTTTATTTGTTTTTCTATAAGTGATACTATTTAAAAAAGGTGATCACTGAAAACAGTCCAACTAGACATAGTAACTGACTAAATTAAGTTAGAAGATGGATTAAATCCTTGTGAAATCTTTGAAAGTGGCTATTTGTAGATGCTGTTTCTCACTTCCTAAAAAAAATCTGAAAAAATAGGCGTTTAGAGAAATAATAATAAAACAGACAAGAAAAATACACTGATATCAGAAAATAAGCATATAGAACTATAGGGTAAAATCAGACTACACTTTCAATTTACAGATTAAATTACAAATTACATATAAATTGTTATGCAGACAAATATGTTTATAGAGACAGATATATACATATAAAATGAGCCACATGTAACACATCTTTAGTTAGTGATATAAATATACTTTATAAATGATATTCAGTTACTTTAATGGTTCTATATACTGTCTCTTTTGTCACATAATCAAAATAAATTAGCCTCTCGTACCTTTGGTGATGAAGTTTCGGTTCGTTCAGCCAAAGTCCGGTTGTTTTTAGTTTTGTTTTTAGTCTAACTGACTTTAGTAGAGCGCATTCAGCAGAGGAAGGTGACCAGCTGTCATCCACTCAGCCTCGGCTTCGGATGATTTCTGACTCTCGGAGTTTCAGACTTCTGGGGAAACTCCGACTGTTTTGTTTCGTTTTCCTAAAATGACGTCACCACGTCCCGTCGGTCTCGCTTACTGGGGCAAATCACGCGCACAAACACACTCACGACGCTTAATTTGACACACTTCTGAGGACCTTTCTTATAGAAGTGCTAAAATAAGGTGACTTAAAAGTGATTTTTTAATATTATATATATATATATATATATATATATATATATATATATATATATATATGTATTTTTTTTTTTAAATATATTATTCTTAACTTGAGTTTGAATGCAGTGCTTTTAAAAGCAAAAGTTTGTCTCATGTTTTTTGTGCACCTTTGTTTATATATATATATATATATAAAATCTAAACTCCAATTAATGTGTCTTTAAAATGACAATATTTTCTTTCAGATTTTAATAACAAAAATTTGAGCGACATATGTCTCTAAACTACATGCTTTCAGACTCACCATGACTTGAGACTATATAGAGACTATACCTCACCATTTGTTGTAATAACACCACTGTTATTAAAAAAAGCATATAGGATAACAAAAAATATATATAAAAAATTCCATATTCCTATATTTAGTAGTTAAAATATAGACATTTTGATAAATTTAGGTTTGAAGCCATCGGCCCATATAGGTTATTGTTAAAGGTTCAATATAGGTTTATTAAATCCACAAAATAAGATGAAGCTTTGACAAACAGAGCACTGAACTCATCATTTACTGACATTGTATCACACAAAGGTTGACTCCGTTGAGTGACTTGATAGTAACTGATTGCGTGAAGAAATCTTCAAAAATCTCATAAGTTGACAATTCCGTTTGTTCGCAGACATAAAAAAAACTCCCACTGATATAAGACGAAATATGTGGTTGAAACATGGCAAAATATGAAATATTTCAAGGGATGTGAGGATTTTCTAAATAACCTAAGCATTTTTATTTTCATTTTTAACATTTGAAGATACAAAATGCAAAGCTTAAAAATTAACTGTGTGTTAAAATTCATCCGATTCTTGCGAAAAAAAAAAAAGCTTCTATAAATCTGTTTGCAATCCTCTGGTGGTGAGCGCCACCACACAGTGAAACACACAAAGTAAGAGAAATGAAACCGTTGGTTCTTTGTAGATTTTATTTGTTTTTCAAATACAGGAGAGTTAATGTACAGAAGGACAAAGAGTTTCATCAAGAACTGTACAGTATTTACACGTTTTTCTTTCCTTTTTTATGGAAAATCGGATTGTTTTCAAAATAACTCATAGTATGCACAGACATCAAAATGATAAAAATGAAATGACTATTTCCTCTTTAAATATTACTTATTTATACTCCTCCTTTCCACATGGGAAAGGGATAGTTCTTTTTCTTTGCACCTGCATGACTGATGATTGAACTGAAGCACAACAATGTTAAGTTTCAAATAAATGCAACCATTCTTTTTTCATTCTTTTTTTCCATTCTTTTTTTTTATTTTACACCCACTGTATTTGATACAATATTTCTGTCTGGACGTCTGTTCTTTTGTATAGAGGGGAAGACGATTTGGATATGTGGGTTATGATTGTATACTGATCCTGTGGAAAATAAAAAGCTAGTTAAAACGTCTGGGGCAGCAAACCAGCGCGTGTGAGAGTTTTTAAGTTAAAAACCTCATATAAATAATAAAAATGCGTTCATATATTACCACACGGCCAACTGGTGCTGCCCTTTCACGTAGCACATGACAACAAGAGAGCGTTCTTAACACTTTTCATGTTTCTATCCACGATCACGCTGCTCACGGCACGCTCTGCACGCAGATTAAAAAGCACTCTCGCCACCTTCCAGTCTTCTCAAAAGCCGAAAGCTGATGTTAGTCTTTTCAAAAAATAATTTATGTAAAAACTAAGCGGTGATAGTTTCTCTTTGAACTATTGTCTTTTATGACACACAGTTAACAAGACGTCAGTGACTCCTCCGTTGACTTGGTTTTTCGGCTCCTCCTCTTCTTCGTCCTCCTTGTTCATCCCCGTTTTTATCTCCTTTTTTTTTTTTTTTTAAACAAAGATCCGGAGCCTTCGATGCCCCACCTTTTAATCCAGTAGGGTCCGACTCTCACAAAGTAAGACATATCTTTAGTGATTGGTCAACAACAAGACAAAATAAAAACAGGCCAGTGTCCGAGGTCAGGTCAACACGCCTTCTTCTCCGTCAAGGGCCTTAAAAACTCCTTGCTCGGATCTGAACAGATTCTGAAGAGGGGCTGGGGGCTGTACAGTAGGATTCATCTGTTTTTTTATTTCTTTTTCAGATTCTCTTCTTATTCATTTATTTTTTTTTAAAGTCATACTTTAGCTCTCTGTGTATCTCCTTATGAGGCAAACTCAGGCTTTGGTGCTGAGTGTGAGCAGCTCTATGAAGGAGCCAAAGAGGGTGTCCAGCCAGCTCTGGTTGGCCATGCACTGCTGCACCACTTCCTCTTGGCCCGGGTCCTCAGCCGCCTGCTCAATGGTGTTGGTCTGTAGAAGTGAAATGGAAACAAAGACAACTCTGAGCAAAGCGGGGCAATGAGCCAAACTGCAAGTATTCACCAACTAGAGCTGCAAAAATCATAAAACGTGATCAAGTTTTAAAGAATAACTGACCTCTTTCTTGCACTGTAGGAAGGTGTGGTATTTATAGTGATGCAAGGAGTGGTAGAGACTGTATATCCGGTAGGTTTCAGATGATAGTTTAAGGTCCTGAAAAAGAGAAATTAGTTAGTTTTATTGTGAAATTATACATTCTTTTTTTTAAAAAAGCTTTTACTTTGACTAGGTCATTCTAATTCATGAATATTTTCAAACTAACCCATTTATCTAGTTATGGCTCTATAGTTAGGGCTGTTTTGCGGCAGAGAGGTGAACCCCAACCCAGTTTTAAGCACCCTCTACCATGTTTTTTTTTGTCAGAATTGTCCAAAATGTTGCTAAATCTTTCAATCTTCCATCTCTGAATAAAAAAACATCCCCACACCATGATACCGCTACCACCGTGTTTTACAGATGGGACGCTGGTTCTCTGCCCCACATAACTTTTTTGCAATCAGGTCAAACATTTGTTTTTATAATTTTATTTGAGGGTACCAGAGTGATAGGACTGAAAACCAATATAGACCTCTTGTCAGATTTGAATAAAAGCAATGTCTTTTGTTTACTTCATTAGTACATGCAAAATCTCCATGAAATACATTGCACTTACAGTATAAAGTAATGTTAGAGGAAAGATATGGCCAAATGTACAAAAGCTAGACTAAGGGAAATAAATAAATAGTCTTAAGTATTAGATATCTCTGCACCCACACAGAATTCCCACCAAGTTTTAAAATGTCCTTTTTTATTTTATGTCTTTCTTTTTTTACTGTGTTTTGCATGCATTATCATTATGAAAACCAAGCAAGGATGAAAAGACTCAATTTCTACAGGTATCAGTGCAAAATTAAGAAATAAAATAATTTGGATAGATCTGGTTGTGGTTGGGTTGAGTTACTAAGACAAAAAACCCTGCAAAATCCTTCTGACCCATAAGCCAGTCAGTCAGTAAAACATTGCTGATAAAGTGGTACTGCTTATCTAAAGAGCTGAGAACCAAAAACAACAAAAAAGGAAATAATCTTAATTTTAATGAGTGAATAAGTCAAGGTTATTTAAAAAGAATAGAAACAGAAACTTTTTTTTTTCTAAGAACTATTAAGTAATAAAAAAACAACAAATTTATTGTTTTTTAATATTTATCAATTACATTTATAGCCTGCAGTGCAGGCCACATGAAAGCAGCGATTTAGGAACCTCAGATCATACAGTTTGGAAATGGCTTTTATAAGGAAAAAAAACCAAAACAACTTGAATGAATTGAAACACTATGTAAGCTCCAGTTTCAAATTAACAGTTTACTCCAAATGATGCATTTTTAGAGCTGTAATAGAGCGCCACATACAGGCCAAACATAGTGTTGCGAGAATTAAGACAATTCCAGAGATAATGATAGTGACTGCTTGGGAGAACGCTGGATTTAATAGTAGTGAATTCTGTTTCAACATTTTTTATTTTGTTTTTTTAGACCTTTGATGTGTTTTTAAATAGGAGGAAATCTATTTAAGATGTTTTACACTTAAAGAAAGCTTTCCTACCTGTGGTTTAGGCAGGGTTTTCTTGACACGGTTGAGGGTCTTTCGGTTGTAAGCGTCACCAGCAAGCCGCACCCTCACCACTCTGGTGTCCAGAGAGTCTGCCATCATTTGGGGGTAAGCATGCAGAACATCCTGTCAAGAAAAAAAAAAAAAGGTTTTTAATTTAGAAATAGGTAAAAAGGTATAGCAAATGCTTTCAATATTATTGGTTTTCTATTTGAAAGGAAAATGTTGGTTACAAATACTGGAATATTGCATTTTGAAAGGATTTATCAGACTTTTTAGGTTTTTCAAGTTTTTAATCAGATTGATTTTCTTTTTATTTCTGTGAAAGTAGGCATTTCAAGCTAATTTTATAAACAACAGTCTGATGTGAACACATGCTCTTATTGTCCCCTCAACATTTTAGTGTCCATTTCTCTAAAACTCTGTATTTTCAAACATGAAAAAAAAAAAAAAATTTTTACCACATAATTTTTAAAGTGCCAATCCACTGCACCCTAATAGAATAACCAAGCAAAATTACAGGACAACATGATATATTTATACATTATCAGACATAAAATCGGTGCCAGTGTAATTTTTTTCATCTCACCTCCTTCAAAGGGACAGATATTCTTTATCTCAAGAACATTTATCATAATTCCAACATTTCCCAGTGTCCCTTCATTTTTAAAAGTAAAATATATTTAATAATATTTCTCCACATATTCAGTAGATGAAAATAAAAATCCTTATTGGTAGTATGATAATGAAACTTAATAGGGATAGTGATCTATTTAACTAAATTGTAACTCGGACTGGTGCAAAACATACAGAACTCTTTGAGAGAAATAAATGTAAAACAGCTGTTATTTTTAAAACTGGGTAAACAAAAGCTAAACTGTCATGACTGTACGAGTTTTGAGTGTCTTCCGACACACCCTGAAATGTTTTAATCACCTTATATAGACGCCCAATGCCACGAAGAATCAGAAGCTTATTAAAAACAATGTAAACAGAAATCTAAAAAGGAAATTAGTGGGGAGGAAAATCATGAAAATACAAGGAAAACTCTGACATTTTTATTTGACTAAACAACAATGGGAGAGATCTAGTCGAGGAAGTTCTATGTGTCTCTTTATCTGACTTCATATCATGAAGTAATAATATTTTATTTAAAAACACATAATTATTTTGTATCTGGTATAGGCACTACTTTGGATGAAATCAAAGAAAGTTCTCCATTAGAAAAAAATAATCTAAAAATTAGGTAAAAACCTTTTTCATACTTTGTTGATGATGTCATTCGTTTGTAAATCATTTATCAATTTGAGAGTTCAAAGCTAATGTTAATGAGCATTTCAGACAGAATGCAAAGAGCACACTTTTATGCTTTGAAACCTATTATTTTCAACTCTGCTTGCAGGCAGAGTAGTTTGCCAGAGTTTAGTATGTGTCAGTTATGTATTGAGTGAGCCTGTATGAGACTTGAAAGCACACCAGTTTCACTATGCACTTAGATTGAAATCTATGTAAAGACCTTGGTGGCACAAATAAAGTAGAGCTTATAACAATGGTTTGCAGTACATCAGAACCACTGAGTCAAAACGGTTGTCAACACAATCAGGAGAGTTTGGTTAAGCAGAACCTATTGAAAAATTAGGGGGATGTTCCTTTAGTTTGGAACAGATGGATTCAGAGACTCTTCTCTTGGCTAAAGAGAATAAAGACCAGACTTTTGCTCACTGTTCCAACATCCGCTCTTTAGATACAACTTAATTTGAAAAAAGATTCTTAAAGTTCTAGAGATTCTAGAGAAAGACTGGGGAGGCAGTGATGTTTTGATGCCATTTGCTAATATTGTTCTACTGTGTGTATTCTAGTCCAAAGCCAGCGCAGCCATCTGCCAGGAAATCTCACAGCCCAAATGCTTCCCTTTGTTGACAAGCTTTATGTAGACGCATATTTCATTTTCTAGCATGAGCTGGTACCGTCCCACACTTTAGGTTCAGATATCCGTCATATTGACTAAATATGTTAAGGCTAAATCAATACATCACCCTCTTTAAGATAGACCACTATAACTAATTTGAAATTCACAAGATTATTAAGCAGCTCATCCATTTTGTTTTGTAATACTTGCAGAAGAAAGCGTTTGGTTTTTTTTTAAATATAACTCCTGATGCTTGTAAGAGTTTGAACATGAAAAATTCATGCTGTTTTTTTTTTTGTGGGTTGATGTAAATCATTTTGTTAGATGGTCATATGATATCACATCATATCACCCACAGATAGGTTGACTGAATGGAACCCAAATTGAATCATGACAGACTTTGATAAGGCATCAAAGTAATAAAATCATTTATTGTTTTTTTAACAAACACATATAATGTATTGGGGCTGCACAGTGGTGCAGTGGGTGCCTTGCAGCAAGAAGGTTACGGCCTGGTTCTTTCTGCATGGAGTCTGCATATTCTCTCTGTGCATACATGGGTTCTCTCCGGGTACTCCGGCTTCTTTTCACAGTCCAAAAACATGACTTTTAGGTTAAATGGCTTCTCTAAATTCTCCTTAGGTGTTTGTCTGTGCGTGAATGGTTGTATGTCCTGTGTGTCTCTGTGTTGCCCTGCGATGGACTGGCGACCTGTCCAGGTACCCCGCCTCTCCTCAATTGACAGCTGGAGATAGGCACCAGCACCCTTCGCGACCCCAGCAGGGATAAGCGTGTCGAAAAATGGATGGATAATCAACAGAATCCTCAGATACCTGTGATCTCTTCTGGTCCTACGTTAGGCGTGACCAGCTGCAGGCAGAGCATTTGGCTTCGCTACTGTGGCCACATTATACAGATGCATACTCATGCATATAATATACCATAGACATTTGGTTCCAGATACACACTACTACTAAATACTAAGCAGCTACTGACACATGCAACAACATTGTGTAATCATCATAGGTTTTGCTTCTTATATACACAGATTAAGTTGCTGTCTATGGGATACTCTCTCTTCTGTGGATAGTGTGGTGTTTTTTTTTCTTTGCTGTTTTTTGTTGTCCGTTTATTTCCGTCTCATTTCATGCAAGTGTGGAAGCAGATTTCTAGTAGATCCTATATACATTCTTCGTTGTTTGCTTTGTTTTTTTTTCTTATTTTCCTTTCTCTCTCCCATCCCTTCCTCTCACTGTCCATCTCTTTCTCTCGCGTTAATTCTTATTCCCTATCCCTTTCTCACTTCAAATTTCGTCTCCAGGTCCGCTGCATACTATCTTATTCCCTAAAGGGTTTCTAATAAAGCTTCATACATAATTAGCAAGTGGAATCTAATGGCTACAACCTTAAAGGTCTACTTGTGAAACCAAATCAATTCCCAGAGCTATATTGGTAAAAAAAAAAAAAAAAAAAAGAAAAAAGAAAAAGACAAAAAAAAGAAAAAAAAGGTAACGTAAACATGGACATTTTTCTCAATATGCTGTAATTTCCGTAATAAATATACTTTTATTGGTCTGATGTAAAATTCTCTGTTTTACAATCACAGATTTAGTTTTTACATTTCCCCTAAAGCAGAATCTAGGTGAACAGAAACCTTTAAATACCGTTTATCACTCTCTGTGTATTAAATCTACATGATAATTTTAACATTTTGAAATTCATTATTTTTTTAAAATAAACTTTGCAATCATATTTTAAATTAAAAACATGTACCTGCAGATGTCTGCAACAGTGGTGTGTACAAATAGCATGGATCCAAATGAATGTGAATCAAATGAAAAGAAGAATTTAGCAGAAAAACCAAAACAAAAATGGGCCATTCCGCGTCACGTACGTAACCCATCAAAGATCAAAGCTTGTTAAAAGGAAAAAGCAAGTGAGAATCGATTACCTGGTGCTGAGAACTCATGCTGACTTTTCTCAGTAACCTTCTCTTCTGTTCACCCAGGATGCTGTCAATCTTCCTCATCGGGGGCAGGTACAGCTCATCTGTAAGCCAATCAAGGTTAGAGGAATTTTATTCGTCAGCAGTCATACGGCTTCTTTTTAATATCAAGGACCGAATGTAAAGCCGCCTGTTCCGTGCATTCCCACGACTTCTCTCCAGTCGTCACACCTTGTTTATCTAAGCTTGAAGAATTCATTAAAAGGCTGCTATGAATATGCACACTCAACTGTCAGCTAATCCTGTCCTGCTTTGATGTAACTTTGCTCAGCTGGCCCAGCAGCTGACACTTGGCAGCAGTGCTGGATATTCAACCTGACCATACTTTCTATTTTAAAAACAAAATTCTCTTGCTAATGTCTTTAAATAAATCGGAGTGTAAGGAATTTGAAATAGAAAAAATAAGTAATCAGATAGGAAAATCTGGTTAGGTTGGGCTGCTGAGGCAGGAGTTCTCACCGTCTGTGTCTTCCAGAGCTTGGATCATGTCTGGGTCCAAGGCTGTGCTCACCAGCATCTCCACGTAGCTCCTGAACATCTCCCTCATGGCACGATTGTTCACTCCTCCCTTAACTGGCACTAGAGGAGAGAATTAACAGTTTAAAGCAGCAAAATAGAAATAAATTGGGTAAAATACTAATGATTAAAATAATCTCTCACTTTCATTCTCACTCGCCGCCTCATCAGAGGAGTCAGAGTCAGAAGACGAGGGTACAGATGAGGGTACATTCAGCCACTTCTTTCTTTTCTTGGGTGGAGGTTCAGCTTTTACTTTGGTGGACTTTGACTTGGGTGGTCGCTCAGGTTTCTCCTTCTTCTCCAGGGTTTTCTTGTCCTCCTTTGCTCTAGCGCGGTCCACAGTTGCGGCGCGTTTTTCCACCTTCTCCTGTTGCTGCTGTATCCGCCTCTCCGTCTTCTCCTGCTGTGGATGTATCCGCTTCTCAGTTTTCTCCTGTTGAGGCAGCGTCCGCTTCTCTGCCTTCTCCTGTTGAGGAGGGGTCCGCTTCTCCGCTTTCTCCTGTTGAGGCGGGGTCCGCTTCTCCGCTCTCTCCTGTTGAGGCGGGGTCCGCTTCTCCAGCTTCTCTTGCTGCGGCTGTACCCGCTTCTCAGCCTTCTCCTGCTGCGTTTGTGCTCGCTTCTCCGCCTTTTCCTGCTGCATCTGTATCCGTTTCTCCGCCTTTTCCTGTTGCATCTGTACCCGCCTCTCTGCTTTTTCTTGCTGCGTCTGTACCCGTTTCACCCTCTCTCTCTCCTTCTCGGGCTCCTTCTCTTTCTCCTTGGCTTTGGACACAGCGGCAGCTACCTCCTTCTTGTCTTGTTGTTCTGCAGCTGTTGCCGGCTTTGATGTTTTCTCTTTTTGTTCACGATGGAAAGGTGGAGTCACTCGTTCATCTTTCTCTGCCGCTCTAGGTGGAGGTGGTGGTGGTGGTGCCTGTGGAGCAGGTGGGGATGCCATCCTTGGAAGAGACTGTCGCCTATTGAATGAAATAAAGTTTGGAGCTCAACTTCTTGCACAAAATAAATTGAAAATATAGAAAATGAATAGAAAATATACTGAGGATAATTTAGATCATACACTACTATCAAAACAATGAAAAGCTGATGATGGATAGCCTTCTTGATTTAACAGTACTTTACAGTTTGTATCAGTATGCAGAATCAATGCTGTCTATGATGAACTCTAGATTGCGTGATAAATCCTAAATCTTTTTGTATTTATGTAATGTATGCAGTGCAAAAGAGTGTGAAGTTACTCCATTTGTTTATAATATTAAATTATGTTTCTGCTGTAAATTATTTATCATTAATTATTAACATATCTGAAGCACAGTGTTCAGGATTTTGTTGCAAGTCACCACATTAATGTGTTAAATCAGTGCATTTATGCAAAATAATTTAATAAAAATTTATGTTTTGCTAAATATTCTCATATCACCCAGACAAATCAATGTTGCAAACTTTCATAAATTCTCCTAATCACATTAAATGGCAAAATAATAAAAAACAAATGTGTCAACAATGAATGGCCCCTGTCTTTAGAAGATCCCTGCACAAAGGCCAGGAATGTAACTGTTAAGGAAAGTTACCTGAGTCCTGGAGCAGCTCGCCGCCAAGGTCTCCGGGAGCAAACCCTCACGTAGTCCTTTTTGTTAAAGTTCTCAAGAAACTTCACATATATCCTCTGGTACCGTCTTTTTGCATCTCCAAAGTAGCCAAGATACTAAAAACAAAAAAATGTTTCCACAATGTGTAAAGGTAGCTAACAAAGAAGATAAACTTTTAGGATATTTTCTTGTTCTTATGTTTCAAAATGTTGGAACAGGTGTGGTTAGACCACTAGAAGCCTGGGAGTGAACTCACATTGCTTGTGGCGCAAAACTGCCTCTGCCCATCTTTGATCTCTGGACTGAACTTTTGTAGCAGGGCTTTCTGCACTCTCCAGATGGGCGGAGGCTCCCGGCCTGTCTGCAGAGCCAGCTGTGCACAAACACAGGACCCACAGTTGTTTGTTAGAGAAACAGAGACGCATATACAATCAAAGGCATACCAAAACAATTAGAAAAAATATAAATACCTTAAGAGTCCGAATATCCTCCACCCGCACCACAAATTCATCCCTTTCTCTAAAGATGCCCTCCCCTCCACTCTCACTCTCATCTTCCTCGCTTTCCCCAACAATGGCTGCATCTTCCTGCTTCTGGGCGAGGTGCAGAGATGTGATCTTAGGAGCAGGAGGCTCCTCAGGAGAGGCAGGAGACTCTGGGGACGGCACGGGAGACTCTTTTCGAGCTGAGGGTGGAGGAGGAGGAGGAGGAGAAGCCGGAGGTGGTGTGGCAGGCTGAGGAACGGTGGCTGGTTCAGGAGGGGAAGTTGGAGAAGGAGATCTAGGAGCAGCCGGGCTCAGGGGCTGGAATTCCTCCTGTTGCTCTTCTTGCGGAGGTTGCGGTGAAGGGAGAGAGAGGGGAGGAAGGGGGGAGTGAGACGGAGTAGAGGATGAGGCAGGAGATGGAGGGACAGATTGTTGTTCGGGAGTCGCTGGCTCTGGTTGAACCTCTGGAAGAGGAGCTAGAAAGGAAGAAGGAGATAAAAAAAATAAAAATGTTGGTGTCACAGTCCGTTCAGATGGTAATCAAGTAAAGTGGCTGCAGACTATGCGGTCTCTGGAAGATACTCCACCTCTCATCTGGGAGTTTTACTCACTTCTGTTAATGGTTGGAGGGTTTCTCATTTGTAAAGCTTAGCTCTGACATTTCCACTAAAAGGGTGGTCAGTTTTATACGAGCCGCAGACCCGTCTGTTTCTCCTGAGACTAGTCTGACTGAACTGTTTACCAGTGTGACCAGAGGTATTTGAGGAGGCTTTTCAAGGTGTGAACAGAGAAAAGAAGCTGAGGCCTAGTCGAGGTGTTAATTATGGTTTTTTTGTTTGTTTTTTAAATCAATTTTATTCCTACACTCCACCTCCTTCAATATGAACACTAGAAGGTACACAAAACCAAAACACACAAATACTTTGTCACCACTGGAGAAAGAATGACTGCCATAAGCATAGAAACTAACAATTGGCATCACAAACCCTCATTTGGAAAGACTGGACATGTGGCTGTGAAAAAATTAAGCATTTTAAAATTTAAAACTCTTATTTCTCAGCCATCAAGGTACAAAGACATTTACTGTAATTTCATAACAAAAAAAGAGCAATTATGGGGTTTTAACAGACACTGAAGGAATAAGAAAGACAATTTGGGTTTTATTTTAAAGCTCTCGGTAACAGGACTTTCAACCACATTTAAATTTCTACCCATCGTTGAAGCAAAGGTTACATAATTCGACCACATGATTTTTGTGGTATTTATTAGGAAAATAATAAGAATGGCAATAAAAAAAATGTAAAACATCCTTGCTGACTTTCTTAGAAAACTGCGAGACAGTGACCACATGACTCTGCAGTCAAATTCTCAGTACTGCTACTAAAGACACACTAATCCTGAAACTGGCTTATTAAGGACGCCAGCAGTATTAAGAAGTGAGATTTTATCACTAACCTGTGCAACATTATAATGTCAAATCTCTAAATATTTGTGGAGAAAATAATAAAAGTGAAATCCTCAAAAAAAAAAAAAATCCAAATTTAAAACAGTTATAGTATTGTGCGCTCAAAATTCCTAAGAATAAATTCCCAAACACATAAGTCCATATATTTAAATAAAAGAGAGAGGCTCTTCTAGCTATTATTTAGATAGCTGAATCCAATGAACATCTCATTAGCAGGAGCTCTGGATGACTGAATACTGATAAGAAAAGTCAGCTTTTAAATTTAGGTTAATTGGAGAGGAGATGCATTTAAAAGCTGTGCTGCAGTGGGAAAAGACGAGTTTAAATTTCACATTTCAGCAGACAGTGCACAATTCAAAGTGCTATACAGAAGAGAAAACGAAAAGTACACTGCAATGGCATAGGGAGCGACACAAATAATTTAACAGAATAAAAGTGAACAATTAAAATGATAATTTATATTTTTAAAAATGTTTAAATGATAACCCCAACCCTATCCCAGAACAAAAAAATAATAGCCCATACGAGTTTTATCTTCTTACTTTAAAAATTGCATTAATACTTTCACATTATATTCTAAGCTGCGCAGTATGTTGGCATCAACTTCAGTGAAACTGGGATGATATCGATGACTGATGTTAATTTTGGTGGCGGTTGTGTTTTCGCAGCTAGAGCAGGGTGGGGTCGGCCATGTGGTATTTGTTTGGATAAGTGACAGGGATGCAGCGCAAAACTTGTGGGATGTTAAACTAAAGCAGAGAGGCGATGTTACGGGTGTGGTTGCATTTTTTTTTCATGGTGCTGAATATCAGTAAACATCAGTCACAGGAGAAATTTTATTTTTATTTTTTTTTAGTTCTGGATAACCAGGAACCATTTAGATACCTTAAGTTGTTGTTTAAGAAGACATAAAATAAAACCTTAAAACATAAAAAGCCAAACATTAAAATGTAGCATTGATTTTTCCTTAATCTTAAGAAAACATTGACCATAAGAGAAAAATATCAAAACTAAATAAGGATGCAATGAGTTGCGGATTTCAGATATCAGGTTTTTGATATCTACATTTTTTGGCATCTTATATTAAAGTTTTCTGATCTGTAAATTATTATTTTTGGTGGATTCCCGTTTAACTTATAATATAAACACAAATACTGTATTTATGACATTCAAAGTAATTTATTCTACGTTAACAGTCATACCTTATTCATGCCAAGAGCCTGTTTATGCCTGTCATGATATGTGTAAGTGTTGTTGCTGTAAAACAGATGAGTAAGGATATTCTAAAGCAAAAAGACTACAGAGCATCCATTTTTCATTGCTTTAGAAAGCTACTACAAGCCATTAGTACGGTTAGCTTGGCTAGCAGCAAGCTAAGTGAGGTCCTAAACTTAATCAAAAGGCTCCCAACAATTTCATATTGATTAGGAGTTAAATGATCATATAATTTAACAAATTATTTAAAAAAAGAGCCTTTCCTCAGCCTTTGTGTTATCTGCCTCAAGTCCTGCTCTCTCTCTACCAATTAAAGCTTTTTTTCCCCCATTTTTCTTCTTTGTGAGAAAGACTGCTGTTATTTATCGTTCACTCTCAGAAAATGATTGGATTTCCAACAATAAAGGCCAATAATGCGAGACAAAAAAAAACAAAACATCTTGTGACTTTTATTGATTACAGCCACAAGCCAATTTATTGCTGCATCTCTAGAGCAAAGCTAAGCAAAGATATCCATCCATTTGTTCCATAAAAATAAGTAAACGGCTGCTTTTAGAAACAGGCCGACTACAACCAAACAGAAAAAAGCCCCTAAAAGCTCCACCTAAGGCAGGCGCATGGTTTGGTAATGGTGGCCATCTAGGTTAAAAACAGAAGAAAAAAAAACTGAACTTAGGTTTCAAGATCACTCAAACACAACCTTGCAAGTCTATAAAAGCAACTGCCAATCACAATGACCTTAGAAACTCACAGGAAAGACAGACCTGCAAATCATGTGGTCGATGACCATTTTGAGTAGCTGTCCCAGCAGCAGATTATGAATCTGAAAGCCTCTAACCATTATCAGAGAGTCACTGTTTCTGCTTCTGGTTTAGTTAGACAACCTAAAGCATTTGTAATAACATAAGAATAAACTATATATATATATATATATATATATATATATATATTTGAAAAAGTTAAACTCACCATCAAGTTTAGGAGCGCCCAGAGTTTCTAGCTGGGGTTCCATCTCCTCCGTTATATCTCTCTCTTCTTCTTCTGGTGTACTCCTTTCTTCTTCGTTCTCCTCATCTTTCTCCTCTTCCATGTCAGCTTCCTCTGGAGGAAGGATGTCGGGCTCCTCAGACTCCGGCTGAGAGTGTGTGGTTTGCACAGCTGGCTGTGGACTTAGCGCGGGAGGCTCCATTTCAGGGGTGAGAGGAGCCTGAATAGACTGAGTCTGGGGCTGAGGAGGTAGAGGGGCCTGGATGTTTGAGGTCAGCTGAGGAGTGTCATACAGAGCCGAAATGGCAGAGGAGATACTCTTCTGAAGATCCTGGTTCTTTCCGACCGAATCTTCCTCATCGGAGGAGAAAGATGGCAAAGTCTCCAAGTTTCTCTTCAGCTCATCTTCCAAGCGCTTGGGGCTGGGGCAGTTGCCAAGAGCCAGCCCCCCATTCCCCTCACTGTCTCCAAACGGAGGTGGTGGCGGTGGGGGAGGTGGTGCAGGAGAGAGAGGGCGCAGACCCCCTGCTTTACAGGGTGACGTTTCGCCGTTGTCATGTTCCATTCCTGGTGAGATGTCCAACCCCGGAGGCCTCTTCCCCGTCTTTAGGAAGTCCAAAAACGAAGCCACAAAGCCAGCTTTAGTCTCTGAATCCTTCTCATCTCCCTGGAAGAATCAAAAGAGAGAACATAGCTCAGCTGTAGGAGAAATCCTCACCACTATTAACCCGTGAACTTTATTTTACATCTACTTAAATGTAACTCAAGCATTCTGCGCTCATAGCAGGGCAATTTATCTTCTAGCCTTTACCCTTTCATCCAGTCCTTCTTCATCCACTCCTTCACTTATCATCTGGCTTTTCTGTTTGTTCTTGTCCTGGCTTCTAGTACTGTCAGTGCTGCAGGGGGGTCCAGGACTTAAACCGAGTGAGGGAGCGGAGCCAACCGAGCCGTCTGACAAAGCAGGATCGGTGCCAGACAAAGAGTCTGTCCTCAGCAAGGCGTCAGAGGAGGACAGAGTACCAACTGGCAACTTGATCTGCAGGAAAATAAAGAACAGTTATGAAGCTCATGATGATTTAAAAGTTTTATCAAAACAGGAATGTTGAGAAGCAGCAGTAGGAGAGCAGTAAAGGAGAAATACCAATCATCCGCAGGCACATTTTATATATTAACCTCCCCTCCCTCCTTCCACCATGCAGACATTACATTTAATACCTCCTGCTTCACACAATGCCAAAAGCACTGCACACATTTTCTGCAATAGTTTGAGGCAGAGGTTTACATACAGTGAACAATGATGTATTTGAACAGCTCTTGGCTTAACTTCTAGTGATAAAAAAAAAAACATTTGCTGCTTGTTTTGTTGTTGTCATGGTGTATTATTTTTTTATTCATAGAAATGTTCCTTTAATATGTTCAAAATTTTCATTAGATTTTTGAGGAACAACAAACTTGTTTTGTGCCATCAATAAGGCCCTTGGATCATCTTGGCTGTAAGTTTGACCCATTCCTCCAATCAGAAATTTGACAGCTGATTCAAGCTGCTTTCTTCCCATTTGCTACAGCTTTTAATTTTTTTTTTAGAATATTATTTTCCTTTCATTTTCAGAAACTGTTATCCAATTAATGGTTCATAAACTACAATCTAAAGCCAACCAACTTAAAGGAATAGTACACCCAAAACATGATTAGCCTTCATTTTCTACTCATCCCCATGCTGAACAACACTCTGGAGTACTTTTTTTGATATCTCAAATGCATCTGGAGATCTGGGAGACTTTTTGCTGTCTGCTGACATTCAAATAATGGAGGTCTACGGTGCCCGAGACAGAAAGGTCCATAAAAGTCCACAAAAAACGTGTCAATATTCCTCCATACTGCTCGTCCAATGTATTCCAAGTGTCCTGAGTGGGTAGCATCCAGAATTTACTCGAAACGAAGTCATTTAGAATGTTTTGAGAGCATAAACAGTAGTGTATAGGACTTCCTGAAAGCGCGCGCATGCAAGTTCACGACGCTACGGAAACCGCGGCAGACCAAACCGGATGAAAGTACGCATTCAGCTCGGCAAAGAACTCATGCTCTTCCTCAACACTGAAGTCCTAAGACATTTTTCTTTCGTTGTTTCTTTCTTTGCACAGGTAAACAGCACATTTCTTCTTCTACGCTTGCATTATCGGCAGAGCAGACGCTGGATGCGCACTTTCATCTGGTTTGGTCTGCCGGCTTCCGTAGCGTCGTGAACGTGCGGGCGCGCGCTTTCAGGAAATCCTATACACTAATGTTTATGCTCTAAAAACATTCTAAATCACTTCGTTTCGAGTAAATTATGGACGCTACCCACTCAGGACACTTGGAATACATTGGACGAGCAATATGGAGGAATATTGACACGTTTTTTGTGGACTTTTATGGACCTTTCTGCCTCGGGCACCATAGACCTCCATTATTTGAATGTCAGCAGACAGCAAGAAGCCTCCCAGATCTCCAGATGCATTTGAGATATCAAAAAAGTACTCCAGAGTGTTGTTCAGCATGGGGGTGAGTAGAAAATGAAGGCTAATCATGTTTTGGGTGTACTATTCCTTTAAATAACATGTCTGCTGATGAAAGCCAACATTTTTCCAAAAGCTGTTGGATTATGAGGCTTTGTTATAACTTGTTAATACAGGGTTTATACAGGAATGAGCAACTCTAATTTAATGCTTTGTAATGCTCTTTTAATGCTCTTAATAATAATTTTATTGCAACAAGTATCAATGACTCATATATACACAGCAAATTCCTTCTTCATCTTTACTGTCGGCAGCCTTCAATTCCTCGATTTCCAGCCACTTTTGTTGAAATTAGCATTTTCCCCCATTCTACAGCTTCTTCTCCGCCTTGAGCTTGTTTTCCGAGCATACGGCTTGACGATCAGCAGAAGCAGTTCCGCGCAAATATATTGCAGTTATTTTTTGCATATTTGCAAATATATACATCTTTTAAGAAATTGTTTTTATAACATTTTTTTAAATAAAGCATTTTAAATGCCAATGTAATCACATTTAATTAATTTTAATGCGAATTCAGGCCTTAATTAGAAAAATTATTATTTAATGACTTTTAATGATTTTTAATGACCCCCGGAAACCCTGTAATAGTTAAAATACGCTACTTAAATTTTATAGTGCTGTGGATATAGATTTAAGCACATATTGACCCTTTTCATTTCTGAACTAAGTTGTATTTAGGGCTGAAACAATCGATTATTTGAATAATCATCAACTAATTTAGTAATCAATTGTCAACTGGAGTATAGAAACAATGCCTTTAGCTGACAGAGCAACAGACTTAAACAGTAATTATATCAAAATTTAAAAAAAATATATATATATATAAATATTTTGCATTTAAGATTTAAAAAAACTTTTTCGTCTGTAAATATGCTCTATTCAGAACTCCTCAATTGGAAAAGTTTTAGTTTCACCTGCTTTAATTTCGGAAAAAAATTCTTCTTTAAAGGGACCTTTGGCTATCCGATAATTAATCGAAAAAAATAATTCACAGACCAATCAATTTGCAAAATAATACTTTGTTGTATTTTAAACCCACATAAATGAATCATTAAAAGCAACTCAGGAAACTAAAACTAATTACTAATTAATCTTAATTTACGCCCAGTTCATTAAATATCAAATCCATAACCAATGTTTGGGGCATGATCCTGATCACACCTGGGATTTATTTTGCTTCTATTGGACAGAGAACCACTGACCTTGAGAGGTGGGATGGGCTCGTGATGCTGCTGCGGCTGGTGATGGAGCTGCTGTGACTGCTGCTGCTGAAGGTGATGCGAGTGCATCTGATCCTGCTCCTTCCCGCTCATCTCCATGTACATATCCTCCCTCCTTCCTCCTCTACCTCGGCTTCCTCGCCCTCTGCCTCGACCTCGTCCCTCCACGCTGAACCCCCCTCCAACTGCTGAGCCGCCCATTTCACCCATCATGCCCCGCGGGGTGTAGGGCTCAGGCATAGGGCGGATACGTGGTCTACCCCTTGGCCTCGGAGGCCCCTCCCTCTTTGGCCTGGTAGGCTTTCGGCCTCTCTTCTTGGGTCCGTCTGGAGGAAGAATAGAGTGCGAACCCATAGAAGTGTAGCCAGAGGAGTGGTAAAAATCGATGTCGCCCATTAGAGGGCTCAGGGATCCTCCTCCTCCCTTTCTGCAGCTAGACACCAAATCTGGTAAAAGGTCAGGAAGCCTGCGGCTGTTCAGCCGGATGTCAGCAGGCTGGTCGGCTTTATCTTCATCATCCTCAAATTCATATTCTTGGGCATAACTTTTCTTAGGTAGTGTGTTGGGGTCCCTGCGCTCCTTCAGCAGGTGGAACGAACTGGATTTCAGGAGTTTTTTGGGACGAGATGAGCAGAAAATTGGAGACTGGAGGCCTCCTGAACCTGCACCCGAGCCGGTTCCTCCAGGACCAGAGGAAAGCTTAGCTCCGTTGTTGTTCGGACCGGCTGCATTAGAGCCCATACCCAAAGCTGGGGGCTGAGACTGGATCAGACCCAACTGTTCGGTGTTGACCGTGGAGGGAAGCTCATGCGTCTTAAGAGAGTCTAGATCCAGAGTCATGGTGTTGTTGTTGGCTTCTTCCAGACCATGACAGTACTGTTCATATGCCTGATCGCCACCATGGTGACCCATCATGTTGTAGCCTGGTCCACCACCTCCTGCTGCTCCTCCCGCACCCTGTCCAGCTTTCATCGAATCCATTCCTTCTTGCCCAGGATGGCTTTCGTTCATCTCCTCTTGTCCTGGACCGGCACCGCCACTACAGCTCGATTTATAGTCCTCCGCGCAAAACATGTCCTCCATTCCTGGGAAAAAGGAACGGTCCTCGTCTTGAAGCAGGGAATCCGGGAAGCAGATTGAGGTTAAAGGTACGAACCGGTTGCTCTGCTGGTTCTGCTCTGCTTTCTCTACTGGGCTGACTGTATCAAACTGGTGCGGATCCGAGCGTTGTTGGTCCATTTGGCTCTGCTGTGTGGCAAGCTGGCTTGGGAGTGGCTGCTGTGAGTCGGGCTGAGACTGGGGGTGGGCTGCGGCCGAGGGTTGGGGTATGTGGTGAGGGTGAGGCGGCTGCTGCTGAGGGTGGGGCTGGGTATGAGGGAGGTGGGGGTGGGTTTGCTGTTGTTGCTGCTGAGCATGATGCTGTGATAGATGATGCATGTGAGACGGCGTGGATAAACCGATGTCAGGCTCAGCCAGGAAGGAGTGGAGCTCAGGGGCCGAGTGATGGGGTTGCTGCGGCTGATGGTGGGGAGGGTGCTGCCTCTGAGGCTCCTGCTGCTGCCTGTGGCGCTCGCCGCCGCTCCTGCCCGCGCTGCCCGGTCCACCGCGTCTGTCCTCTGCGACACCAACATCACCGCTGGAGGTCTGAGAGAGAGAGCGCTCCAGCATGTCCAGGGAGGACACCACTGAGCTCTGTTTGACCTGGCTCTGGTCATGCTGATGGGGTCCGTGGTTGTAGTGGGCGGCTGCCACTTCCAAAGCTTGGGACTGCAGCTGAAGCTGGAGCTGGGTGGTTTGAGACTGGGACTGACCCGGATGTTTACTGGAGCCCAGTCTCCCACCGGCACCTTCCATCACAGCTTGTTGCTGGCTAATAGAGTGCTGCTGCTGTTGGCTATGGGAGTCCATTTTGTGGTGCTGTTGGTGCTGCGAGTGAGAATCGATTTTGTGGTGCTGCGGATGCTGATGGGAGTCCATTTTCTGGTGCTGCTGATGCTGAGGGTGGGGATCCATTTTCTGGTGCTGTTGGTGTTGGCGATGGGAGTCCATCTTGTGGTGCGGCTGATGAGGCTCAAGCTTGTTGCGGGTGGTGTGGGACAGAACCGACTGGAGCAGGTGTGGCGGCTGGCGGGATTGATCCGTTGGGGAGTCCATGAGGGACACGGCAGCTTGGGACTGAGGGTGCTGCTGCTGCAGCTCCGGCGTTTTACGAGGGTAAGGAATTTCCGCGCTTCCTTGGGGCTTCTTCTGGAGCTCCATTTGGTGAGGTGGCATCTGCGAATGTGACGACACATGTTGACTGTGTGAGGAGTGTTGGGCAGCGAGGGAGTGCTGGGAGTATGGGTCACCCCGGCCGTAGTGAACAACGGAGCCGAGGCCGTCGTGATGATGGAGGTGCGAGTGGACTTGCTCGGCACTTCCTCGTCCGTTGCCGTTTCTGCTGCTCCCCACGGATCTGTCACTCCTTTGTTGCTGCTGTTGTGTCTGATGGTGGTGTTGTTGCTGTTGATGCTGCTGTTGTTTCTTAAGTGACATCTCTAGCTGGTTGTCCAGCCCAGAAATGGACCCCCCAGAACCTGTATTCCCCACACCGGCAGTGGATGTTGCGCTGTGTGTACGTATAACGCTCTGGGGGTGGTACCTCTCCTCGGGGGTCTTGCTCATGTCATAACTCATGCCTTTGCCCGAGTCGCTTGTGGGGGGGTACCGACTGAGGCTGTGGTTGTGTTTGCTGAGACGTCTGCTGGGGCTGTGGTTGAGAGTGGTGATGAGCAGCCTGAGGAGCGGGGCTTGCTTGGGCTTGAAGGAGATGCTGAATCAAGAACTCATCGTCATCGTCCACTTCCTCTTGGGATCTCTGAGAGCCCACACCCATCATGGACGTGTCCGGTTTTGCCTTTGAGGAGTTGGAATGATACGACTGAGGTTGGGAGGTGGGACCTCTGGTATCAGGGTACGCCTGGGGGGACGCGAGAAAAGTGGGCGAGAGAACTGAGGGAATGTATTTATTTGACCCAGCACCTCCTGGAGACTGAGTGGGACATGTTGGCACGGGGGAATGCAAACCTGGCCGGATGATGGCGGAGTTACCGGATGGGGAGGGACTGGAGTCTGGAATATGATAGGAACCTCCCCCGCTTCCTCCTCCACCTCTCTCACTGGTCATGCTATTTCCTGCTGCTCCACCTGATCCGGAGTTCCCACTCCCTCCGCCGCTGCTGCTTCCTCCCCCAGACGCTCCACTACCTGATGACCCGCTTGACCTTAACAGGGCAGGTGAGTGACCTGGAGCTCCATAACCAAGGGATGGGCTCCCTGCTCCACCCAGAGAGGAGGGGAGTGACCCATAAGCAGAATCAGCTCCATATAGATCGGTGGAATACGAATGGCTCCGCCCACCTAAACTTCCATAACCTTTTCCACCTGTACCAGAGCTCAAGTCTTGGGCTTGGGGTGAGTTGAAGCCCCCATAGGACTGTGTCAGGTGGGAAGTAGGGGGCTGATTAGGAGAATATGACTGAGTCTGTTGTTGAGGTGGAGTCTGTCCGGTAAGCGCAGATGTGGGGGTCTTTACTGGGGGTACTGGGGAGCCGTAGCCAGACAGACAGGACTTGGGGAGAGATTGCGGAGCTGAAGTAGAGGTGGAAGGAGGCTGTTGCTGAGGGGTAGGGGGAGGCGGAGCCGGTTGAGGAGGTGGCTGCTGTCGGGACGGAGCAGCGCTGGAGCTGGAGGTGGGAATTGAGTTTGAAGGATGAGCACCTGATGTTGCAGAAGATGACGACGAGGAAGAGGAGGTCGAAGAAGCTGAGGGGGGCGTATGAGGTGTTCTTGATGATGACGCGGAACTGCCTGAAGAATAGCCACTACTGGAACTACTTTTTGTACCCTTTCCAGCTGATGAAGAGGACGAAGAGGAAGATGAGGAGTAGGGAGGCTGAATGATGGGTCGATATTGTTCAGTGCGAGAGGCGGGCTTATGGTCAGACGAGGGGCTCTGGTCGCCCAGCGGGCTACAGGGAAGGCCAGCGTGCCTGTGGTGAGTGGCGATCTGTTGGTAACCTGCTCCTCCACAGCTGAGATAGTGCTGGAGAGAGTGAGCAGCCGAGGACGAGAGCTGTGACTGAGCGGGCGTGGGCCGCTGGTAGTGCTTGATGACGCTGTCCTGTCGGGGCATGGCCCTTTCCTGAGCCGAGTTAGACTGCGATTGGGACTGAGGCTGAGGCTGGGCTGAGGAGAACACTGAGGGGTTATAAAGCTGAGAGGATTGATCTTGAAGCTGAGAGGACAATAGATTGAACTGGTGGGACTGCAGATGCCTGGCAGAAGACGCCTGGGCTGACGTGGCACCAGTGGGGTCCTGACTGCCTCTGTAGGCAGCAGCTGCAGCACCCTGGGAGGACAGGAGTCGATCAAAACCCAAGCTGGACTGGGATGGCGCTTTTATGTGTATAAGGGGGTCATGGGGGGAGAGCAGACCATTGGACGTGGGGCTAAATGTGGGCGTGTCCTGGAGGGAAAGGGAGGCTGTGGGGAAAGAGCGACTGGAGAAGGATGCTGGATGCTGATAGGCTGATAGGGCTGAAGAGGAAGGGAAGGATCCAGAGCCAGGAAGGGCTCCAGAGATGAATAGTTCAGGAGGAGCAGGCGTGTGCATCGCTGTTAGAAAGAGGAAGATATTACACAATTACTGAGAAATAAAACATTACTCAAGTTACAAAAACACATTTAAAGGTGGTTTCGAATACAATTTAAACCTTAAAGATTTTAAAAGAATGTTCCACCACACAAATAGACAGAATTATAATTTAGACAAACACTTCCGACATTTTTCTAATGTCATATTGACATTAGGTCTGCTTAAATGTCAACACAACAGGGAGGACATAACATGGCCCCACCTGTCTGCCAGGACGGTGTGCGGAACTGAGAGAGGAGGGAAGAGGCAGAGGGTGGAGGCTGGGGACCTCGGGACTCCAGAGCTGAGATCAGGTTCATGACCGAGGCGTCAGGAGCAGAGGGGCTGGCGTGGTGTAAGCCAGTGTCAAAAAGCCCAGAAAGACCTTAAAGGAGGAAAAAACAAAATATTAAACTTCTGATTGAAAATTTAAATATAAAAAAACATTTAAACACAGAGAGGTACAAAACATAGAAATAACAAGCTAAGAGATAAAGAATTGAAGGTTCTGTAAAGCATCACTGTGTAACATCTAGCCACTAGGGGCACTAAACCTGTAACTTGCAGGTATAGCATCCATGAAACCTACAGGCAACACCAAACTATCGCAAATTTAAATGCTTTCTGTTGTTTCTTGGGAATCAGATATTAGACAACTTTGGACCTGCAGAAATCATGGAGTTACTTGTAAGACGAGAACAGATTTACCCCTCAAACATCAGAGAACTAAAAAATGATGCCTGATCAGGTTAGGGTAACATCTGTGCTTTTGTCTTGATTACGCTCGTTACGTGAGCTGTTATGAAAAGTAGCCCGTCATAGAGCATCAATACAAGAAACCGTTGTAAATTAACCCAAGAAAATAACATAATGCATCTTACTTAAGCTAATAATTGTTTATTTATGTTCAACTCGCCAGCCTTTTGATGTAGGCGTTTTACCCACTTCCAATTAATGACAGGCTAAAGACTTGCTGGTTTTCTGTTTATCAGACCCTGATCCATTCCTTTTAATGAAGGGAACTTTTTGGACCAAACAGTGAAACATGTACATAATCAGGTGTCCCAACAGGACAATGATCCCAAACTTACTCTAAAAATTACATGTTCAAATGCAAATAATACAGATGTATGTAGTGGAGGGTAAAGAATATGTGAGAATTAAATAAATCTAAATTGCATTCAAAGCTTTTCTTTAAATCTCCTTTTGTTTCCTTTTAATCCATCAAAATGATATATTATATGATTATTTGAATAGTTAATAACAAAAACTGAAGTTAATTGTATATTTATGCCTTAATAAAAGAGTATGTAAACTTCTGAGCAGAATTGCACCTTCATATTCATGATATGTTGTAACATGATCAAGTCTCAGGTTTACAGTATTAGCTTTTGATCAATGTTGCCCAAAACCTGCAGAGAATCTGTAAAGCTGCATTAAAAACGAAGGCCGGTTTTGGCACTCTGCTTTTCAAATTCCATTGATCCCTAATTTGGACATTTGTCAGTGACAATAACCTGCCAGAACCTGCTCAGTCTGACACAATACCTCACTGCAGGAGGGCCCATTATGTTGGGGACATGGAAGATATGACATTTATCTTACCCAAACTCCGTCCAGCTGCTCCCCAAGCCCCGCCTTGGCCAGAGCTCCCTGGGTGGTGATTGGTGGCATAGCCCTGCAGAGGGTGTGGGGTGGAGTAGGCTTGTCTGTGAAGGAGCTCAGAGTCAGGGTGGGATGATCTGGAACTCCCATATACCAGACTGGGGAGGGAGAGGATATAGGGAAAGGGGGGGTGGAGGTGTCAATCAGTCTTCAGAGTATATTAACATAAATCTAATCAGTTCCCTAAATGTGACCCCTGAAAATGACAAGGAAGAGGCTAATTATTATGCACACCAAATCTCACAAGTGTATTTCTATTTTTCAATTAATATGTCATTTTTAATTTAAAATTAACTCAATTTGTTTTTTAAATTACAATTATTTTTTAATAGAAGCAAAAAGTATTAAAGTTAAGTCATTCTTAAAAGAATGACACAGTTACAACCATACCCAGTTTATTAATGACTATTACAGTAGTCATAAATCTGTCAAGCCCACATAAGGGAGGTGGGTGGGTGGGGGGTGCACTTAATTTCAAAATGATGGTTTATTTGCAATCAATAACATGCATTCACAAGGAAATGTCATTACATGCTTGCACTAAGGTCCTTTATCTGGTATTTGCAGCCGAATAATTTCGCCTTACAGAAGGCAGATGAAATGCGTGGCTGCTTCATCAAATGCATGCTAGCATTTGTGCTGCTTGGTAGCATCACTGGGGAGTAATGCAGAGGCTAGGCCCCGACTGTGAAAGGCCTGCGCTGCGTATGAATACAGCACATCACACCATGGTGCAAAGTGCAGCTAAATTAAAATGAAAATATTTAGCAGCTTAAACCGCAGAAGAACAATTAGCATGTCAGTAAATGCTAATTAGCAAAGCAATGCAGCCAACAACTGGGTTGTGCATGCCGACCCAAACGTAAGCTAAACTGCATGCAAAAATAATGGATCATGTATATTTGTTTACCAAAATCGGATTTCTTAAAACGCAAATGCTGATCCTTAGAGGTTAAACACACAAATGGATAATTGCTTAAAGGTTTCTAGCAGAAGGATCGGGTTTGCTTGGAAAGGCCTCAGCTATGCTTCCCTGCAAACACAGAGCACTAGCACGCAGGCTAACTAAAGCTAAAATTCAGAGCTTCCTCTCGCATTCTCTGCAGCTCCCATCCTCATATCTCATGCATTTACGTGAACTGATTCAAGTCGAATCAAAATACAAATTGCACCTTCGATGCATATGGGATTTTTTCGTCAGAGCTATAATATGCAAATGAGCACCGAATCCAACTGAAGCCCATCACTAATCATCTAAATCGCAAATGTATCCAAATGGGAATCAAAACAGTGTCTGCATCGGCCCCGTAAACATCACCTCACAAGACTGGTTTTTATTGTGTTTTACAATGCAATACGAGTTTAATTAATACGCTTCAGTTTATCTTGTTGATTGCTGTCGGGGAGGGAGGGGGTTGCTGCGTCTGCACTCCTCGCAGTTTCCCCATCAATCCCTATGAATTTGTCTGTGTTCAGGCCTGCAACACAGGGAACAATAATTCCAATGGACACTCAGACATCCCCCACCTCCATCCATCCCGCCTGGTCCTACCTAAAAGCCCATGTCTGTCAATCACATTCAATTCACCCCCCCTTTACTCCCCCAGCCTTTTCCTTTCTCCACCCCGCCCACCCCCACGACACACGTTTATCCATTCCTGTTTATAATAATATTACTATGCAAACTCTGTGGATGACAATGCATTACGCACGGTGGTATAAATGAGGCTCCTGGCTCCAATTTGTTTACACTGAAGAGGGGGGTCACATCATGCCCTGCACAAAGTAGCATGGATTTGATGCATGCACATTGTCTGGATCCCGATGCATTACCTTTTTGCCGTTCTGTCGTAACTCCATCCTGCTCCTGCGCCCAAATCACCAAATCCTGTTCCCGGGTAATTTCTATCCATTTATGAGCGGTACAATGCGTGAAAGCAACGAGAACAAAAATCCAGTCTTTCCACGTTCTCGCTTTCAAGCTATTTTCCCCGGTTTCATAAGCAAGTCCTCAGGAGTGGAAAACAGCATATTGAAAGAGAAATGGTGGGGAGGAGGAGAAAGCTGGATGAAAAAAGAGGGGGGTCTACGGGGTTACAATCCAACCACCTCCAAAAAAAGCCAGTCTTTCACCTTTTCCAGTGCCTTTATCATTTCCTCGGCCTGAAAGCAGTCATGGTCATGATGAAGATGCCGCGAATTTGCTCGCTGATGGGCGAATAGCTGTTTAAACATTTGACTTAAACGCGTCCTTTTTTCCACCGTCTCTCCTCCCCTTTCTTCAGGCTAGCTACGCTGATGCTAGCACTAGAAAAGATAGCAATCGACGGGGCCACGTTGGTAGCAATCATTCCCCCATGGACGAGCAAAAAGAAAATCCCCAATTTGAAAATCTCTTTTTTTTCCCTCCTGCCTCTCTCTTTGCATGCAAATGGTTCCCACCCCCCCTCCTCCGGAGCGGAACTGTGAGAAGCTAGCAGCAGATGCTAGCTGTCAGCAACGACGCATCAAAATAAAACAGGGCTGCTTTTATTTCGCCCCCAAATACACGCTCCTCTCTTTTCTCCAAAGGCCATCCGAGTAAAAAACCAAACAGGGTCGTTCGCACCTCGACCGGTGACGTAGGAGCACGAAAAAATGAATAAAAACCGAACGAGGAAGTGCAAAGAAACAGGCCGCGTTTTAATATTTTTTACTCATTTTCCTCCGGAGACGCCATTTTTGAAGGCGGATAGCCGCTGTCCGTCCTCCCTCTCCTCCTGTGTGTCTCAGTCGGTGTCTGCTGTGACCTCCATTCACCGGCTACCAGTCTGCCAACAAGCCCTGCTCGCTCTTCCACATTTTCATTCTTTGAAGAGAGAGGGGGAAAAAAACTATTAATCAACACCAAACACCGAGCAGCTCGCCCCGCGCGCTGCAGTTTGCTGAGACGCATTCGAGTACAAACAGATAAAACCCTCCTGATAACCAGATTTATTGAGCTGCAATATTTATGTTGAAAATTCATAATTTCACACACATCACACATATTTTCAAGCTAAATGCTGCCATTAGCTTGTATTTTAATGCCTATATAGTGCAGCCACTACAAGTCAATGAAGGATGATGATGATACTAAGAAAAAAATGTGAACAAATTTTTTTGAAATTGGTGAAAAATCTTTTTTTATTATAAAAATAAATAGTACATAAAAATACAAGGGATAAGACATTTTCTATCTATCTATCTATCTATCTATCTATCTATCTATCTATCTATCTATCTATCTATCTATCTATCTATCTATCTATCTATCTATCTGAAATCAGTGAATGATGACTTCAAGTCTCAGCAAAAATGAGAATCAGGTGTCTTTACTCCAGGTATGTAGATAATAAAACGTAAATGTAATAATAAAAAATAACGAAATAAAGAAATAAAAAGAATCAAAGGAAATGCAAATACTTTCACATATATAACACACATATAACAGTTTAAGTTATAGTAAGATTACTAGTTTTACGTATAACGATGTGCCTTGTGAATTTTTTCTTTTTCTGAGATGGGATGGGCTACCTGTATAACGAAAAAATAGTTGCATATATATATATATATATATATATATATATATATATATATATATATATATATATATATATATATATATATATATATATATATATATATATATATATATATATATATATATATATATATATATATATATATATATATATATATAAACATGTATACATATATATAAACAAATATATTAAAACATGTTTTAATTTAATGTTTTAAATTTCTCTTAGACTGTATCTGACCCAATTTGGCCTCCCACTGGGACTACTTGTTTCAGATCCCATTCAGGTGCTCTCCTTCTAACATGGCAACAGTTGTTCATGTGCCTCTGGTAAAGCTTATTATTTAGAGAACCTGCCTACCAGAAAATATGTACATAATTATTTAGGCCAGCAGATGGCACACTGAGCTTTCTAGTAATTATAGTGATGAAGGGATCCTTGAGCTCTGGCTCAGGAGCTAGATCTGGTTCACACCTACTTGAGGTATTTTTTTTTTTTCTGACAGCAATAAATAAAATAAATTGGAACATTTCTGAAAATGTAACTTAATTTAAGATCTTGATTTACATAACATAAAACATAATATTTAGGTTCTGAAAGATATTTTCAAGCCTTTCTTTCTTATTACAAAAATCTTTTGGTCACATCTAAGAAACTAACAAGACCTAAAAATACCTTAGTTATTTTTATAAAATTGAAACAAATTGCAGGTTTAAGTAAAACTATTTATGTAAAACATGATTAAAGTTTAATATACACTAAATATGTCTATAATCTGACAACATTTTCTAATATATTTCCCATTTTATTTAATAGAATTATTGAACCAATTTTTCTCCCACAAATTCCGCAGGCCTGAGTATTCGTTTTCGTGTGAGTGTTTGCTGCCCTCTAGTGGAGAATTTGGGTTCTCCAGGTTAAAAACAATAAAACATTCATTAAAGAGATGAGTTACAGTATTATTGCAAGCTTCACCACTATCAAGGTAAAAATTCTTATTGATTATACATTTTGGATAAAAAATAAAACAATTTCTCCAATCACAGCTGCACATCTTTCTATCAATGTCTATCAGTTTATCACATGTAGAAACATTTTCCACAGAATATGATTTAGTGCTGGACTTTAATTTGGTCATTCTAATACAAGCATACAGTTTCACTTAAACTTTCATATTGCAACCCTGTTTGTTTGTGTGTTTAGGGTAATTTTCCTGCTGAAAGGTTCATCACCTCCCAGATTTATTTTTGCACAACTGATAGAACTGGAGGCTTCTGAAGATAGTTCCATCAAGGGGTGAGGTGGGGAAAATTGCACACATTAAACTATTTCTACTCTATTTCTAAAATTAAAAAGACATTTTATTCATTTTTCTGTGCTAGGTTGTTTTACTTCTAAAAAAATGTATTAACAACAGATCACAAGATGTTCAAACATTTAAACAGTATATAAGTCACTGTAGGTTAAGCATCTCTAAATAAAATGCACACTTATATACGAACCATGTTTTGGATTAATGTAGATAAAATCACTTCAAGGCTAACTTAGTTTTACATGACAGGTAAATAATTCTGATAATAATATAGAAAGCTATGTATGTCGCTTTCTTAATTCAGATTGTTTTGGCATATTTTGTCGAGTAAGTTACTCAACACAGCCAGATTTGTTTAGTTTTTATCATATGGAGGAGCAATAAAAAATGAAGCATGTTTTAGCTGTTCCTACTATACATTTTTAAGTTAACTTTAAAGAAACAGAGGGAATTGATTATCTCAATTAGTTTTAAAAAGTTATGATTCACATGAATCGTTATCCTGTAAATATGCTAAATGGGAAATAAAATCAAAACATTCTCACATTTTTACGTTAATGATATGTTAATAGACAAGAAAGTACGATAAATTTAAAATTTGAAGCAAATTTAGAGTTTGCAGGGAATCACTGGATAACTGATAATTAATTTTTATGCTTAAAAACCGAAAAACATTGTATCATGTGCAAAATATGTTTCCTTCCCTCATCCTTTCTTAAAATTAAATCCATTTCCTTTTTTCTTTCTTTTTTTGCATCCAAATGCAAATGCACCTCTCACTGATGACCCCCTTAAGCCAACAAACTGGTTTAAACAAAACCCAGAAAACCAGAAAAGCCCTCTTTGCCTGACCTCATGCAGAGAGCACTTAAGAGAACTTTGTGATGCATAACAGTTAACCCCAGAGGTCATGCATGCACACAATCATTTGAAGAATTACAAAACAAAAGATATAAAATAGGGAATTTCACTAAGATAAGATAGTTGATATATTTAAGAAAAAACAATTAGTGATCAAGAAATCCATTTAATATGTTTGAAGCCCAGATTACTCTAAAAGTAAAGCTTTACTAAAATCTGTAAACCTGGGAAACATTTAATCCACGTGGTTTGGTTACCAAATAAATAAATAAAAAAGACAGGAGGTTATATGAAATTGCATTTTTCATTTTTCTAATTTATGCTTCCTTATTAATGCGCTGTACTGTCCTAGCATTCTGTTAAACTTTTTTTTTTCAATTTTTTTTGGTTTCAAAATCTAAAACTAACAATATCTTTAAAGGGACAAATACTTCTCACAAGACATTTGTGTATTTCTTTCCCCAAGTAATTAATGTTTAGACTTATACTTGCTTTCAGCAAAAAAAAAAAAAGGGAACATTTCAATATGAACATAAAATATGCATTTCAGAACAAAATAAACAGTTCCTCAGAATGTCATGTGTGGTCACCGTCATACCCTCCTCCCAACTCTTATTTCCTTCTCTCTCTCGACTGCAGCTGCAGCACACCTCCGGCTCCCCTCAGTCCGAATGCCAGTTCCTGTTGACGCAGTGCCAGCACCATGCCAGATCATCAAGGAGGACGCTGACAAGTGGTGAGTTTTAACAGGAAGGACGTACAGCTGCCGTCTGATCGAAATGATCAAATCAATCACCACAACATTGCCAAAAGTATATTAACAACATTAAGCAACAGTCATTTGTTTACATTATTTGACAAACGGCAGGAACATTTTAATGTCCTTGAACAAGGAGGTATTGAGATGCATAAATAGATCAGAAGTTTAAAAATACTCGCATGAGGACGGTCCATACTAGGGTGTCGTTTCATGTTACAGTCATGTTAAATGGCACCTCTGCTAAAGATGTTGACCAAGAAAAAAAAATGGATCGGTCTTTTACTTTTCTTGATACTGGAAAATCTAAGAATAAAAGTAATCCAAGTTTATGTTTATGCTACTTTACATAATATTTATAACAAAAGCACAATTGCCACAATCAGTGGTTCCTTTTCTGTAAAAACTTTGTCCAATAGGACGGAACTTATTTCTTGCCTATATTCATGAGTTATGCAGAGATCCTGACCTTCGCTCTCCTCTCTTCCTCTTGCAGCACTAGGTCTCTCTAGGGTTTAGGTTTAGGGACTAAGCTAAACATGGAAGATGCTTTTTTTGGTTTGGTGACTCATTTTTCTGTCATAGCTTCTGTTGGCTCCATTTCCAGTTAACTGGCAGAGGCCAAGAGATTGTTATTCAGAATTTTCTGATATACCACACGATCACTTAACCAAGGTTTCCAGCATTCGACCCACAGTAGGGCCCACAACTTCATAGAACCTCTACCATACTTGCCAATTACCATTAGATGCTTTTCCACTTACTTTTTATGCTTATGTGGAACCAATGATTGGTGGGTTTGGCTTTCATATGGAAGCAACCAGTATCATTGGTTGTTTTTTTCAAGGCCCATGGTTCCAGTAAAAGTTCCTGCAAAGTTTATAAACTTTAGACGTTAAAAGCCATGTTGGCTGTACAAAAAAAAAAAAGAAAAAAAAACTACATCTGGCATCCTTTCCAAACAGCTGGATAGTATCTGAGCAGCATCATTCAGCTGCTGGGGAACCCTGATGACCCTAGGGTGCCACTTGTTGCTGCTGTAACACTGATTTTTGGAGACTCTTCTCACCCCCTTACCACCCTGCTGATGCTGCAGGATAAACATAATCTAACTTCCTTTTAGCAAAAGAATTATATGTCCTTTTATCAGAGATTGATAATCCAGATCCAGAGAGCAAAAATCCTTTAGAGATATTAGTTCAAACCATTTTCATTTCCAGCCCCAGAGGGCAGATCTGGGGCTAATCACCTGGTTAGGTAAACCGGATGTGGGAAAACTTGGCAGGGTTTTTATTCTTTGGATCTGGATTATCCACCCCTGCTTATTGCATTTATTTCTAAGGAAGATAAAAAGTTACAATAAAAGAATTAGAAAGGTAAATAACAGCTTCTTCAATATTTACTTTGAAGGCATGGATGTTAGTATTCAGATTTTGTAAACAGCAACAAAAAAAACAAACAAAAACCTATTTCCTCTAAATACATATAGTCAAATGAAAGATTTTTTTTAAAATGCACTTTAGGATTTTATGCAGAAAATAAAACAAGAATTTAATGTAGAGTTAAAAAAAACACATTAATCAGCGCTACTGGCTAATTTGACCGTCTCTTTAAGAAGGAGCAGATGTTTGGTGCATGGCTCATGCTCCAATGTTTTTTTTATAAAACAGCTGCACTGATTTAATCTGGAAAAAAACAAAAAAACAACACAAACAAAAAAAAAAAACAAAAAACATTGCAGGTTGTGATAAAAGAAAAAAAAAACACTTCTAGAAAGTATTTAATTACATTTCTAGGTGAGAGCAGTTATTACATGTGGTCCAATTAGCAGGGGTCATATAAAGGCCTTGTGTGTTTAGGTGTAAAGTCTAAAGTCTTATCTGGTGTTTTAGCCTTCAAGAAAAGAAAGACGACTGTAAGGATCTAATGGATGCCTTTCAGGCCTGCATAAAAACGCTGTCTGAGGGATCCTAGTAAATGAAGAAACATGGATTTTTAAAAAAGTAAGTTCACACAAAACCCTATAATGTATTATTCCATACTTATTTGCATATCATGAAGGGAAAGCTTTGGTTATTCAAAGAAATAAACTTAGAAATATTTATAAGTTAGATATAAGGAAAAAAAAAAAAGAAGAATCCATGTTCACTTCACAGTGCATATAGTCAAATTGATTTAGAAACCAGGGATTTCTGCACAGTTTCATTGATTCTCCTCTTCAGAATGTTTAAGCAAATGACTGAATGAACCTGCTTGTTGAAAATGCTAATTTGTTTCCTTCTCATTCTTCTTACTTCTTGTTCTGAAATGTGCAGGACGTCTGACGGGACCATTTGGAAAACCATTAAATAACCCAAGGAAGAGAGACGTTTCCATACAGCCCTCAGGAGATCCTACATAGTTCCTAAACCACTGAAATCCATTTTTTTGCAAAACCTTAAAAACAAAGACTATTATTGCAACCACATTATTATTCTGAGCATAAAACCCAGTCATTGCATGAAGCAGTACACTCCTTTAACAGTGTTAAAGTGTCATAGAAATAACACAATTGTCTACGTTTCTCGGTCAGAAAGAAGCACACATGCATGAGAAGTGATTCTAGCTGAATGCTTAAGAGACTCTGAAGGTTGTAGGTCTCTACTCTCTGAAGGATCATAATGTCATCGTACTGTTTCACCCACAGTGTCAGTTTGTGTGACCCGAGAACAAAATGATTGTAGCTACATTCAGTTTATTCCCATTAATATACTGTAGATATTTTAAATAATATTTCATATTTAATATTTTTCCTCTGTAAAAAAACCCTTACCTAATATATTTGCCTATTCTAGGGCTTTCCAAAAAAGTTAAAAAACAATCCACTGGACTTATCACTCATTTTTCTAGGGATTTACAGAGCACAGAATGGAGATACCAGAAAACTCAAGATGAATGATGTAGCTCCAATATGTGCAATGCTACACTTGTTCAAATTAAGATAATAAATTATAAACAAATAAACCGTTGTGTTTTTCTCTTAGTTAATCACAGATCTGATAAAGACATTTCAACTTTCATTAATAAAAAAAATCTTATATATCACACTGATCTGTAGTTAGGGGTTTTCACCTCTTGAAAAGCTGTTTTAAGTCTTTACTCTTTTTGCAAAAAAAAAAAAAATGGTAATCTTTGCTTAATCCCTTCATGAGCGCCTGCATAGAGCTGTCTAATGGGACTCCTTCAGCCTCTGGGAACTAATGTATGGATTAGGAGAATGTGCAAAGATTACAACTAGAGTAAAGCTACAGGAGGTGTTGATGGAGAATTTAAAACGAGAATAGAACTGAAGGAGGGATCTTTGCAAGATTAAAACATCAAGCTTATACTAATGTGTACTATCTTATTATTTAATTTTATACTATTTAAGTTGCCTTATGTTAGATACTTCTTTTTTAAGTGTCAAACAGAGAGTTTTAAGAGTATTTTTCTTCATACATTTTTTTGATTTGTGATTAAAAAAACAAAAACAGCATCCTATTACCATAGAAAGAAAAAAAAAGCAATCAAGAGATACAGATGAAGATGATATTCAGGGACTTATCCAGTGAAGAAAAACTTTAATAATAGAAAGCTGTCTCCGTGGTTTAATGCAGAGCTGTGCACTTTGAAGCAAAACGCTAGAAAATTGGAGAGAAAATGCCGCTCTACATGCCTACAGGAATCCCAGCTAGTCTGGAAAAAAAAGTTTAATGCTGTATAAAAGGACCCTTCATAAAGCAAGAGCAGAACATTTCTTTTCATTAATAGGAGAGAATAAGAAAACTTTTTTAATACAGATGCTTAACTCACCCAGAGCCATAGCTCTGTTGAACCATCCATCCCACCTGCTCTAAGCACTAAACTGCCTGGAGATGACATGTGTTGTTAATTGGAGCTGTATAAATAAACTGAATTGAATCTTCCAATAAAAGTGTCAATTTAGAATTTTGAAAACCTTTAATCCTTTTCCCAGATTATCCATGTACAAGTTTCATTGCCTTTTTGCTATGCTGTGTTCACTATGAGATCAACTCGTACAGAGCAGGAGGTTTGTAGACTAAATCAAGTTATTAATAAATAAAATTATTATTTAATCTATCAGCAGGTGACAAAAAAATTATACAGTTTATCATAGTTTATTTTGTCATCTGCAAAGATCTTGTGCAAGGCATAAGTACTGCTGGAAAATATGGTACAACAAACTTGAGTAAGATCTTAAAGTTGGCATCTGGTTCTCAGAGTACTAGAAAATCTGCACTATGTTTGATTACTGATAATCTGACTGATCAAACAGATTATTTAAAGCAGTATTTGTGAAACTAAAAGTGTAGATAGATAGATAGATAGATAGATACATCTTCTTCCACATGTTTACTACGTATCTTACATGACTTGTGGTAAACACATGACCTTCAAAACAATTTTTTCGTCAGCTTTACCGTAGAGGCCAGATTTGTATGCTTCACAACAAATAGCCTTTCTGTTATCCAGTTAAGACATCAAGTCACAATGTCAGCCAGCTTTCATTTAGTATTGTCTTTTTTTTGGCTTTGTCCTAACAGCTTCTATAACAAACCTTTAACCTTACAGAACAGCCAAGTTTTGGCTGAGCTTGCACAGACTGCTTGGTGGAATCTCCACTGACAATCTCATTTTCCATCACGCTTTTTCCCTGCTGGGGTCGCTAGGGGTTCTGGTGCCTATCTCCAGGTGTCTACAGGCGAGAGGCGAGGTACACCCTGGACATGTCGCCAGTCCATCGCAGGGCAACACACAGACAAACAGAGCAACCATTCACACAAACACTCACACCTAAGTAGAATTTAGAGAAGCCAATTAACCTAACAGTCATGTTTGGACTGTGGGAGGAAGCTGGGGTACCCAGAGAGAACCCACGCATGCACAGGGACACTTTGTAAACTTTGCAAAAAGACCCCAGGAATCAAACCCAGAACCTTCTCATTGCAAGACAGCAATGCTACCCACTCCCTCACAGAGACGTAGCCAGAAAATTTTTATAAGGGTGGCCAGGCAAAAATCAATGTAGACCGAGGGCTGGCCAAAAGGATAGGGGCCAGAACCTCAGGGTCAATCTACACTGTTTCAACAGGAAAATTAATGAGCACAACATCCATATTTTCTAAATAAAGACAAACTATCTTTTCCTACAGCCTTTGCCAACAAATAGACGAGTATATTTAAAAATCCGTGCTTCCTCGATGAAAGATATAGTGGATACAATTCTTTCAGATTTGAGTTCTGGGGCCAACATCTTTATCCATTGTCATCACTTACCTACTTTTATCAATAATCATTCTGCCAAAAATATATATTAACAAATACTAATATCTACAAAAATTGATTATTTAATACGTTTTTATTAAAATAGTTATCTATGATTTCACTGAATACTCCTAAATGACTTGCAGAGAACATTATTTTCTCTTTACCCCATATAACTTAAAATGTGGTTCTGACTGTTGCAACCAGCTGTATTAGAGGGAAAAAATGGTAGGGGTGGCCAATGATTGACTAAGGCTACGTTCGCACTGCAGCCTGAACTGACCCAAATCCAATTTTTTGGCCCACATGTGACCTAGATCTGATCTTTTCTGGGCTGTCTGAACAAAACAGATCTGATTTTTTCCAATCCGACCCAGGCCACTTGGCAATGTGGTCCTGAATCCTATACGAATCTGATCTTTTCAAATGCAACCTGTGTGTGAACGGCCAGGGCCGATTCATCCAACCTGAACGTCATTATTACCCGACAAACGTCATTATCATGCTTCTTGCTACGCAGAAGCGGCAAGAAAAACAACAACCATGATGGACGATGATGCGGAGAGCTGTATTTATGTTTAACCATATTGAAAAGATTGAGTGTGCACTGGCACTACCATCCATGTTTACTTCTGGAAAAAAAGAGCATGCAGGCCTGTGACGTCATTGCGTCCTCTACTGCGCATGCGGGACACTTGCGTTGTATGACTGCAGTTCACACAGGAAATCACATACATGTCGCATATGGTTGAAAATATGAACGGCACCGTAAAAAATCGGGTTACGCAAAAAAAATCAGAATTGAGCATCAAGGCCTGCAGTGTGAACCATGGCCACCACTGCCCCCCCATCTAGCTCCACCCCTGCTGCCTCAATGTATTGAAAAAGAAATAAAGGGTTGCATAATTACAAATGCATTCCACGCTTGATTATTATTTTTATTTTTTAAAGTATTATTCTATTGCATTGAAGTCTTTGGAATTTGTAGTTGTGGCAAAATAAAAAAAAATAATATATATATATATATGTATATATATATATATATATATATATATATATATATATATATATATATATATCAAAAAAAATGTTTTCTCACCCCTCGTGGGGTGGTATGTGTCATCCTCAAGCTCGGGTCCTCTACCAGAGGCCTGGGAGTTTGAGGGTTCTGCGCAGTATCTTAGCTGTTCCTAGGACTGCGCTCTTCTGGACAGAGACCTCTGATGTTTTACCTGGAATCTGCTGTAGCCACTCTCCCAGTTTGGGGGTCACAGCCCCCAGTGCTCCAATTACCACTGGCACCACTGCTGCTCTTACTTTCCACATCTTTTCTAGCTCCTCCTTCAGTCCTTGGTATTTCTCAAGCTTCTCGTGTTCTTTCTTCTTGATGTTGCTGTCGCTTGGGATTGCCACATCTATCACTACTGCCTTCTTCTGCTGTTTGTCGATCAACACGATGTCTGGTTGGTTAGCCATCACCTGTTTGTCAGTCTGGATCTTGAAGTCCCATAGGATCTTAGCTCGGTCATTCTCAACTACCTTAGGAGGTGTCTTCCATTTTGACCTTGGGACTTCCAGCCCATACTCATGGCAGATGTTCCTGTACACTATGACAGCCACCTGGTTGTGGCGTTCCATGTATGCACTTCCTGCCTGCATTTTACACCCCGCTGTTATGTGCTGTATTGTTT